AAGAGGTGCCCTAAAGAACATAGCATTCTGGGCACATAGGTGGGGCTGAGATAAAGAAAGCAATAAAAGGAGCAAACAGCCTTGGCCCAGCCCCTATCTGGTGTCCTGGGACCTTTGAGAGAGCTGACCAAAGGGAAAGCATTGGCTGTCACTCAGTTCCCCAAAGAATGCCCTTCTAGAGGACCTCCACTTTCTTCTTACTTTCCCCCTCCATCAAGAAACAACTGTTTAAAGATAGAGAGAAAACATCAGAGAGACAAAGCCACTGCCAGCACCAGAGTGACAGCAAAGAAAGGATCATTGTATCCAGGAGTGGCATGTTGCATCTTCTCAGACCTGACCAGGCTCCTGGGTTAGCTGGCATTGTTGCCTTGGTCCTTCTAGAATGGGAGGATCAGCAGAGATAGGGGGCCTAGCTGGGCACTGATGTTTTAACACCTATAATCCTAGCTATTCAAGAGGCTGAGATCTGAGGATCACGATTTAAAGCCAGCCTAGGCAGAAAAGTCCATGCAACTCTTACCTCCAGTAAACAATTCAGAAAACCTGGAAGTGGTGCTGTGATTCAAATGGTAGAGTGCTAGCCTTGAGCACAGAGACTCAGGGACAGTGCCCAGGCCCTGAATTCAAACCCCAGGACCAGCAAAAAAAAAAAAAAAAAAGCAGGGGGGTCTGGGAAATGAACAGGCTGCCAAGAACATAAGACATCTGAGCAATCACCTAATTCTAGGTTTCCAGCTTTTTTTTTTTTCTTTCTTTCTTTCTTTCTCTTTCTTTCTTTCTTTTTGTTGTTGTTGTTGTTATTGTTGGGGCTTGAACTCTGGGCCTGGATGCTGTCCCTGAGCTCCTCAGCTCAAGGCTAATGCTCACTCTACCACTTGAGCTGTAGCACCACTTCTGGTTTTCTAGTGGTTTATTGGAGATAAGAGTCTCATGGATTTTGCTGCCTGGGCTCGCTTTGAACCATGATCCTCAGATCTCAGCCTCCTGAATAAGATTACAGATGTGAGCCAATGGCACCCAGCTTCCAGCTTTTCTTTGACAACTGTTTGCTTGATTGCTTGTTCATTTGTTTGAAATCAAATGCTTCCCTGCCAGGAGCCAGGGCTTATAATCTTGAAGACTCTTCTGGCCTCCTTCTTGTCCACCACCACTGTCCCCACCTGAAGCCCTAAGACCTTGGAACACAGTTTATAACTGTTGTTGGAGTTCATTTTTTGGACAGGAATGCAGATGTCAAGCTCTCCCTTAAGCTCTTATCTACAGACTTAGAGTGAGTTGGAGGTTAATTGGGGCTAAGTCTACTAGGTGTCAGAGGTATACTCAGGAGGACACATGGGGCAAAGCATGGGAGGAACAGAGGCTGCTATGAAGTACACAGAGGAGCAGACTAAACTAAAGAAAAGATAACCCGTAGCCCAATGTGAGGGTACATGCCTGGAGACTGAGGGAGGTTTGCAAATTTGAGGCCAGCTTGGGTCCTGGCCTAAAAAGAAAGGAAAAGGGAGATGGGGGGTAGGAAAGGAAGACAGAAGGGAGGATGAGGAAAGAAAGAGAAAAATTAAAGGGAGAAGAAAGGTCTTGGAAAGGCAAAGTGGAGGATGTGAGGGCGATCTGGCTGCGACATCTATCAACCCATTGATCGCCAGGGTTGAAAAGGCAAAGTGGGGGGCTGGGAAGGTGGCTCAGTGGTAGAGCGCTTGCCTTGCATGCATGAGGCCCTGGGTTCGATTCTTCAGCACCACATAAGCAAAAAGAAAAAAGCCGGAAGTGGTGCTGTGGCTCAAGTGGTAGAGCGCTAGTCTTGAGCTGAAGAGCTGAGGGACAGCGCCCAGGCCCAGAGTTCAGGCCCCACAACCAGACCCCCAAAAAAAAAAAAAAAAAAAGGAAGAAAGAAAGAAAAGGCAAAGTGGCTGTAGGAATCACTGTACTGTTTCCATCCGGTTCCTCTGCTTTCCTTCCCCGCCTCCCTGTCCCCAGGAAAGGAAGCCTTGAGCTACAAGCAGGGTCTGGCTGGGAAGCCGCATGCTGAGCCATGGCCCTTTAACCACATAGGCCTTTTGAGACCCTATAACACACACCCTTCCACTTTGAGACTTCCTGCCTTCTCAGCCTCCTACCATGGGCAAGATGGGTATATTCTGATCATTCCTGGCTGGGTAATAGTGTGCCCTGGAGCACTGTGTCCATACAACCCAAATACACCCTTCTGACCCTAAGACCACTGTGGGCTTTATGTGTCAAGGTCCCTGTCCTGCCCTGACACCTGTGTTTTCCTGAGTGTTTATGGCTTTAACACATCCTGAGATTGATACCTGGTTTAGAAAGAGGTCAAGCATGGAGCTGGGAAGGTGGCCCAGTGGTAGAGCGCTTGCCTTGCATGCACGAGGCCCTGGGTTCAATTCCTCAGCATCACATAAACAGAAAGAAAAAAAAAGCCAGAAGTGGTGCTGTGGCTCAAGTGGTAGAGCACTAGCCTTGAGCTGAAGAGCTGAGGGACAGCACCCAGGCCCAGATTTCAGGCCCCAAGACCAGACCCCCCCCCCCAAAAAAAAAAAAAAGAAAGAAAGAAAGAGGTCAAGCACCACTGCTTGGAGAGAGAGGGACCCCAGGAAGGAAGAGAAGAATCACTGATGAAGACTTTTCCCTGCCAGAGGCTTTGCCCTCATTACTTTGTTCTGTTTTTCTCACCTAGATGCTGGCTGAGTCACTCAGATAAAGAGGAGAACGCAGACTCAACCATGTTAGTTAGCTTGCTTCAAGGTCCTAGGCTCAGTACTGACCAAGGTGGGGACAGAGGTCATGGCCAGCATTGCACTTGGTTCTGCACAGGATCCAGCCCTGGAACTTGGTGGCCAGTGCTCAGAAGCCCCTGCCACTCAGCCATGTTGCAGACCCAGCTCTGCAGGAAGCTACAGCAACAGCAGAGATTGGCCTATAAGGTTTGGTGGAACACAGCTCCCTATGCTGGCCCCTTGGTGTCCTTGTGATAAGAAGCAGAGTGCAGAGTATCTCCTAAATTCTCCACGTGTGTTCTGTGAAGCCCTTCACAGGACAGAGGGTATGGCATTCTGGCCCCTCTGGATCCATCCACAAAGATCCCTTCTTCCTTGGCTCTTAAACATGTTGGCCACAACACACAGGACCTTATCCCAAACCTCCCTCCAGTGCCCAGGCCAGCTCACCCTCGTAGTGGGTAAGTTCATATATCGTCCTTAAAACAGACCAGAGCTGAGGTCTAGCCCCACCACTACCCCACCATGCCTAAAATGCCACAGTTCAAGAAGTCAGCCTGTATGGGCCTCTATTTCTCCAGCTATAGATTGGAATGCTGATGAGCTGCCTCCTTCATTCCAGGGATTTCTGAGAATCACATAGGAAAGGTGTTCAGAAATATTGAGACTATCCCATCCAATGACTGGTAAACACCTCTTCTGGAACCCAGGCAGATAGATACCCCTCACATTCCCTGCCCAGGGCCTAGCAAATTGTAGTGTTTAGTCCAGCACTCCAGAATAGGAAAAACATTTATTTCTTTACTTCTATTAAGCAGAGAATTTCTTGTCAAGTTCCCAGCAGCCAAGTACGGGAAATGCAAGCTGGGTTGTGTTGCAAATGGGACAAACTGCCCATTCCCTGGCATTGTAAAAGAATCATAGAATGTTCAGAGCACAGACCAGCTGGAGCAGGGCCTTTGGGTCCAGATTCACACTGGTCATGGATCTCGGCCATACCCTGGTGACCCTTGCTGATGGGCAGGGATCTCTACAGAGTCCTTGGAGCTGGGGGGCTTCCTGAGCTTTTGTGCTTAAGGCTGGCACACTACCACTTGAACCACAGTTCTGCTTCCAGCTTTTTCTGTGATTAATTGGAGACAAGAGTCTCACAGACTTTCTTGCACAGGCTAGCTTCAAATCTCAATCCTCAGAACTCAGCCTCCTGAGTAGCTAGGATTATAGGCATGAACCACCGGTGCCAGGTGAGAAATCTATACATTTTCATGGATAGTATGCAAAAGACTGAGTGGAGGAAAAGTTTCGATTTAGTGCTAATACATTTGGAGAAATTTAGCAAGTTTGTAAAGTTTCTTGATGTCTGTGTTTTCAAGAATAAAGGGATTTCTTTCCTCTGGTAATAGAGGGTACTTCCCTGGGATGAGATCATGAACTATCACTGTAGAGGAAAGTCAGGGAATTCTTTGCTTCAGGAGAGAAGGATGGGAGAAGGTTAGGGAGGACTTCCTGCTTCTGCTGTTTGCTCAAGTGCTGCAATGTCATTTGGGGGTGGCATGTGCTGAACTCCATTCTACACTCAAATGCGTGTCCCTTCTCAAGCCAGAGTAACCTCTATTCTAGGGTTTCTTCCACCTCCTTGCCCCACTTTGTGGCACTCACTTCCATTCCCCTTCCTTCTCATTTGGAAGACCCCAAATAATGCCTTCTCGGGGAGCCAAGCTGAGGTTTTCTTGCAGATATCTGGAAGCTTCACCTTAGAACTCCAACACAAACCCCTCCAAGGCAAAGGAACACTGAAATTGGGTCATCTACAGGAGCAGCAGTCTGAGTACTCTTGGAGGTAGGGGAAAAAATACAAATGGAGGTCAATAAACAATCCTTGACAATCCTTTCACTATGAAGGTCAGTTCCAAACTTGGCCTCTGGAGAAAAGCAATCACCAGCTCCAAGCCTGCCTTCCTTGACTACATCCTTGAGAAAGTCAGAGGCAAGGTTTGGTGGGGAAGTTGTCTTGAGAAAGGTTAACAAGCCAGGAACTGCAGAGCTTGGGGTCTTGCAGATACTGGTCTTTCCTCTTCCTCAATGAGAGATAAACAGGCTGGGGGCGGGGGGGCGGGGAGGGGGGTTCCTGATGTCTTCCAGATGGTTTCTTTCTTGATTAGTTTCTTAAGAGGCTGAGCTGCCTCCAGGCTGCACCTGCTTCTCCTGGGCAGGGCTGTGTGCGTTGGATGGCACTTGACCTCTGGGCATCCTCTGCTCTTGCAGGACCTGGGCATGGAGTCAACCTCACTGGATGATGTCCTGTATCGCTATGCCAGCTTCCGGAACCTGGTGGACCCCATCACACACGACCTCATCATCAGCCTGGCACGCTACATCCACTGCCCCAAGCCGGTAGGGCGTTGGGGTCTGAGCCAGCCAGGTCCTGGGGTGTGAGGTGGGCACCTTTCAGAGCACAGATCTGACCATGGAACACCGTGGTCCCCAGAGAGCTGGAACTTTGCTTCAGGGAAAGGAGGCTCCTGGTGCTGATTACATCTGTGGCTTTGTCTGAGGACCTTCTCTTAGAGGCTCTTGGAGCTGCCTGCGATTGCAAGACCTTGAGGTGGGGCTGGCTGTGGGTTACTGGGATCCAACCAAGGTCAGCAGAAGGCAGGGATACTGGGCTCAGATATGAGATAGTAAGAAAAAAGACAGTAATGAGGATTGGCAGGGAACCTGGAGGCCTGAGAGAGAAAAGCTAATTGATGCCAAGAGCCATGGGAACTAACCAACTATGGCTGGCAGCAACCTCATCTCTCACTCAGATTATACATGGTCCAGTCTGGAGAAGCAGGAACGCACCAGAGACAGACTTATAGGAGATCCTTCAGGAGCCAAACATCTGCCTTTTCTAAAAACTGATTGAATTGCCTCCAGTTTAGACAAATGACATAGGCCCCCCTCATATCCCTGTATACACACACACACAGAGGCAAGCTGTATTTTCATGCCCACTTGAGAGTTGAGAAAAACAAAAATCAGGTAATAATGTGATGTGAGAAAGGTTATACTTCTGTGAGAAACTTTGGTATTGTTTGGGACTACCTCATGAACCAGTGCTGGGCTGGACACAGGAAGTAATTAATTGCCTGTCAGACCTGGTAAAACAGGACCAGGCTGGGCTAGAAGGGGGACCTGGAGCTCCTGCTCTCTGGTTCTTTTCTGTCTGAGTTGGACTGGAGGGGTGGGTGGTACCTAGCTTGTTAGTCATTTTGGACTATTAAGTCAATTCAGGCTGTTATATAAAGTGCTGTGGGGTGGAGGGTTTGTATACATATTTTTCTCTCAGTCTTGGAAGCTGGAAGTCCAAGATCTGAGTGTCTAGTGAAAAACCGCATCTTGGTCAAAGACTGCTGCCTCCTCTGTGGGTCCTCGTGTGGCAGGAAGAGGATAAAAAGCTTGCTAGCCTCTCCTTTATAAGAGCACTAATCTCACCATGAACCAACCCCACCTCCCAAAGCCACAACTCATAACTTCATCCCCTGGGTACTGGGGTTTCAAGACAGGAATTGAATGGGGACACAAACCTTCAGTTCATTGCATGTGGTATGACTTTTCTAGATCACTTGATTCCCTGAACTTTGTTTTCCTCAACCTTAAAAGAGGAATCAAAATCATGTTTTTACTCAGGAGACTGAAATCTGAGGATTCTGGTTTGAAGCCAGCCCAGGCAGGAAAGTCCATGAGACTCTTACCTCCGATTAACCACCAAAAAAAAAGTGGTAGAGTTCCAGCCTTGTTCACAATAGCTGGAACAAGGTCCAGGCTCTGAGTTCAAGTTCAGGACTGGCACCAAAAAAAAAAAAAAAAAATCATGCCTCTCCTATCAAGTTGTTTGGAAGGTTCAGTGAGATGATCCTGGCATGTGTGCCCTCCCATGCACCGAAGACAAGGTGTTTACTGATAAGGGAACAGCAACCTCATAATAGCACCCAGAGTCTTAGAACACAACAAGCCAGCCAGGTACCTGTCATCCTACCTACTCTGGAGGATGAAATATAAATATCAAGGTTCAAAGAAACCTTTTGGGGGGCAGAAAAGTCCATGAGACTCTTATCTCTAATTAACCAGTGAACAGCTGGAACTGGAGGCATGGTCAGTGGTACAGTGCCAGCCTTGAATTAAGAAGCCAACTTCCTCCTCTTAGCTCTTTGCCTCTGAGACTGTCCTAGCAGCTCAAGTTAACAGGACCAGAAGGTGTACACAGATGTTAGGACTGTTAATTACAGCCGATAGCCCTCCATCAGCTGGCTGTTAGATGGAAAGAAGGAAATGGCCCTTTCTGGCTGGTCTCATAGGGAAGCCCCTACAAATCATCTTTCCCTTGTTGAGACTACAGCCCCTCAACAAAAGCCTGATGAGACAGAAAAGCCAGGGATCTCAGGCCACATGGACAGGGCTTTAACACCCCTACAAAGTGAAGGTATCCCAGTGAAATTCCTGGGCACATTTGTCGCTCTGTGATGGAAGGCAGAGCCAGTCCCAATAGTCTGAGAGCAGTACTGAAAGGAGCCATACTTAGTGACCTGCCCATCTGTCCCTGTCCTCTGCCCTCCCCTTCTCAACCACATCCTGTCTCCAAGGCTAACTAAAATAGCACACAACTGGCTTCCAAGCATCAGCACCACCTTCCCACCTCCTATGCTCTGGGGAGCAGCCAGAAAGCTCGTTAGTGCTGGGTTAATTGGATTACACACAGACCTTACTGAAAATTCTTCAGTACGGTTTTTAGTTTAAATAAAACCCAAACCACAGGTTTGTGATAGAGCCCTGACCTAGGTTGTGAGGCAGAGTTTCATCCCCAGAGCCACAAAAAAAAAAAATTAAAAGGGCCCGGCACTGGTGGCCATGCCTATAATCCTAGCTATTCAGGAGGCTGAGATCTGAGGATCCCGGTTCAAAGCCAGCCCAGACAGGAAAGACCGTGAGACTTTTATCTCCAATAAACCACTCAGGAAACAGGAAGTGGTACTGTGCCTAAAGTGGTAGAGTGCTAGCCTTGAGATGAAGCGCTGAGGGACAGCGCCCAGGCCCAGAGTTCAAGCCCCACGACCGACAAAAAAAAGTGGGGGGGGGGGAGCTGGGAAGGTGGCTCAGTGGTAGAGCGCTTGCCTTGCATGCATGAGGCCCTGGGTTCGATTACTCAGCACCACATAAGCAAAAAGAAAAAAGCCGGAAGTGGCTCTGTGGCTCAAGTGGTAGAGCGCTAGCCTTGAGCTGAAGAGCTGAGGGACAGTGCCCAGGCCCAGAGTTCAGGCCCCCAATAAAATAAATAAAAGACACCCCTATCTCTCATCTCATCCCTACCATTCTTGGCCCTGTATGCTCTTCTCCAGTCACACAGCACATTTCTGTTGCTGGCACATCAGATCCTTTCTTATCTAGGGACTTTACTGCCTTCTCCAATAGCATGAGCCTCCTGTGGCTGAGGTTCCATCCCTTGACCTAATCATCCTCTCTGGACTTCCTCTTGGTTGTGGGGCTTGAACTCTGGGCCTGGGTGCTGCCCTGTGCTCTTCAACTCAAGGCTAGCACTCTACCACTTGAGTCACAGCTCCACTTCTGGCATTTTCTGCTTACGTAGTGCTGAGGAATCGAACCCAAGGCCTCCTGCATGCGAGGCAAGCACTCTACCACTGAGCCACCTTCCCAACCCTGTGAGATTCTTATCTCCAATTGACCCCCAGAAAACTGGAAATGGCACTTTGGCTCAAAGTGGGAGAGTTCTAGTATTGAGCAATAAAGCTCAGGGACAGTGCTTAGGCCCTGAGTTCAAACCCCAGAAAAAGACAAAGTAAGTCAACGGGGACCAGTGAGACACCCAAAGACCCCAGCAGTAGAAAGTTGAATACCCGAGGAGCAGTGGAGGAAGCTATATAACACAGGAGCCAAGGTAAGGCAGCTCTCCAATAAGCTGCTGTATTTATTGCTTTGTGAGAGACTACCCAAAAATTTAGACATTGAGCCAGGCACAGGGGTACATACCTGTGGCCCCAGCTATATTTGGGAGCTTGAGGCAAGAGGAACACTTCAGCCCGACTCTGAGGTCAGTCTAGACAACATAGCAAGTCACTCTATCTCAAAATGAATAGATTAAATAAACAAAAAAAGGAGATATTTGTTGTTGAACAGTCTCCAGGTCAGTTCAGGGCATCCTACTCTACGCTGTCTCAGGACATTGATCAGGACTGCAAGCATCAGAAGGCTTGACAGAAGCCCAGCGTTGGTGGCACACCTGTAATCTTAGCTACTCAGGAGGCTGAGATCTGAGGATCACTGTTTGAAGCCAGTCCAGGCAGAAACCTCTGTGAGACTCATTTCCAGTTAAGCACCCAAAAAGTCAGAAGTTGAGCTCAAGTGGTAGAGCATTAGCTTTGAGCACAAAAACTCAGAGGCAGTGCTGAGGACCCAAGTTCAAGCCCCAGGACTGGCACCAAAAAGAAAAAAAAAAAAAAAAAAAAGGTTGGACAGAGCTTGGTAGGTCCACTTCCAAAATGGCACATTACAGGTTGTTGGCAGGAGTCTCCAGGACTGCTGGACATCATATCATGAAGCCAGCTTATCCCCAAAGCCAGGATACCTTTCATGATCTAGCCTCAAGTCACATACCACTACTCCTGCCATTCCGTTCAGTCTGTCAGACCCCAGTACTGGGGGTGGCGGGTGCCCCTGGCACAGATGCCAGGAGATAAACAAGAGGTTCATGTGAGAGGTTGGTTTCCACATGTGCTGAAGCAAGGGAAGAATGATGGATGAATCCCTCAACATTTTGCTCTTCCTGCCCTTGATCTTGCTTCCATTAGCTGATGCCAACTGGAAGCAGAGAACAGAGAAGCCAGTTGGCCCAGTGTCAGAGCTCAGACCTCGGCAGAGAGTGGACCTTGGGAAAGAGTAAGCTTTGTACCAACACAGTGTCTATCTGGAACTGTGGGCAGTGCATAATAAAAGATGGGTTCAGTCAGTGCTTAATGAATGAATGACTTAATGACTGGATGAGGGTAGCCTTTGAGTGAAGGGCTATTCTTACTGGAATCTTGGGGGCTGTTACAGAAGTACCTGGGGAAGTAAAGGTGGCAGAAGGCATCACTGGCTGACAGCTGACAGATGGAACAGTGTTGGGGGGTGGTAGGTCTTCCCGGAGTGGGGCTATAGGTCTGCTTCAAGCATCTTCAAAATCACTGAGAAGCTGGGCACCGATGACTGACAACTGTAATCCTAGCTACTCAGGAGGCTGAGATCTGAGGATCTTGGTTCAAAGCCAGCCTGGGCAGGAAAGTCCAGGAGACTCTTATCTCCAAAAACCACTAAGAAAACCAGAAGAGGCTCTGTGGTTCAGGTGGTAGAGTGCTAGCCTTGAGCTGAAGAGCTGAGGGACAGAACCCTTCCCCAAAACTTCCAGGCAGCATCACTGGGAAGTTAAGAGCAGTTCCCTGTGCCCAGCTCTGCTCCTTCCATCACCTTCCTTCCCCATGGGTGGGAGGAAGAGCTGCAGAGCCTCTGCAAACTACCTGTGAGTCCTCTGCATAGGCTAGGACTGTTGCAAATAAAGACAACCACCTAGGCCAGATCAGGAGAAATTTATCCTACAGACTATGATGTTTTGTCGACTCAAAGACAGCTGAGCTTGGTAGGGGCCCTAGAACTATAGGCAAGCATGGCCACAGTCCACCAATCCCTCCTCTTCTCCTTTGCCTCCCTCTCCATTCCTTCTAGAGAATAGCTCTTTCTCACACTACTCTAAGCAGGAAATATGGCTGCCCACAGCCCCTAGTTTACTTATAGGGTGCCAGGTTCCAGAGGTGATGGAAAGGTGTCTCATGTTCCTGAAAAGGGCGGAACATGTGTAGCATGTGGTGAAGGGCTTGCCTCTCCCCTCTTGGCCCCTTGTATCCAAAGATGGAATATGAAGGATTGACTCCTACCCTGTTTCCCCAGATGCATACAGATACCAGGCAGCCCACCAAAGTTGCCTGCAGACGGTCTGACTCTAGCAGGGCAGTCTATACCTGGCTATAAACATTCCATTGTGGCCCAACTGAAAAGCTCCCTACCACCTTCCCTTGACCTAATCATTTTTTCATTAGCTTCTGCCTCTTTGCTCAGACCTCATAAAAACCCAGCTCCTGGGTTGGGAATGTGGCTCAGTGGTAGAGTGCTTGCCTAGCATGCATGAAGCCCTGGGTTCAATTCCTCAGTACCACATACTCAGAAAAAGCCGGAAGTGGTTGTGGCTCAAGTGGTAGAACTCTAGCCTTGAGCAAAAGAAGCTCAAGGACAGTGCTCAGGCCCTGAGTTCAAGCCCCAGGACTGGCAAAAAGAAGAAAAGAGCTCCTGTCCAGCTCTTACACAGTCTCCAAGCCCATGAGAAGGCTGTGTTCCTCACCACTCTATCTCAATAAACAGTCCTTGCCTGTGGAAGATCAAGTCTGGCCTATTTCCTTCCTCTCTCCTCCATTTTCCTAACAAATAGTGCCTGTTGACACAAGGCTTCCTGGCCAAGGCCACACAGGGATGCCACTGTCTCTCAACATTAAGACAACACAGAGTGGCACTTCCTCCTCTTAGCTTGCTTCCTCCTGTCCTCCCTACCTTCTCTTTTTACTCCTGCTCAGGGCCAGCCCCACCCAGTCCTGTTCTTTACCAGAAGGCCTAGAGGGAATCTGGAAAGGGAAGAAGTGGGGAGAAAACTTAGATGGTTTTGCTAGGGGCTTTTCTACATGTAAATGATAGAAATTTCTTGAATGAACCTATGCAGAAGACAAAATTTCTCACCTGGAGGGCAGAGAGAGAGAGCAGAATGGCATGGTAATGTAGCTTGCTCAACAGATATCAGCTCTAGGGCTGTAGGTGTGGCTTAGTGGAAGGTAGCAGGCTTGCCTCGCATATGAGATCCCCGGGTTCCATCCCAAGGATCAAAAAAAAAAAATCGATTTGCTTAATTCTGACAAGTAGAAAGGACCTCTCACTATGAGAGCATCAACTCATGTTTAATAACAGTTTAGCTCTATTAAATGTGTGCTGTGTATCTATTGTCCTTTTTAGCCAGAGAAGAGGCTGAGGCTCCCTCAGTTTCTCAATTTCAGTTATGTCCATCAGGAGCTTCCCTTTGTGCACAGCTGCCCCCTTGTGGCAGAATGAATGCACTGACGCCCCTCCTATCTCTTTGTTCTCTTTCTTAAGGCGGGAAGGTTGAGACTGGCTTTTGGATACCCTGGAAAGTGACTGGAGGAGGAACCTAGGATAAGGAACTTAGTTCTAGGCTTCAGATCAGTTGATTTGGTAGACTGGCAAACATTAGGGCTTAGGGCATCTGAAATTGATGCTACCTGACCCCCTGGGTCCTTCTTGTCTGATAAGGAAATCACAGGGAGCTGTTTAAACTCTCTTGGTGCCAGCTAAGTGCTGGTAGCTCATGCCTGGAGTCCTATTCAGGAGGCTGAGATCTGAGAATCGACTGTTGAAGCCAGTGTGGGCAAACAAGGACAGACAAATCTATGAGACTCTTATTTCCAATTAACCAGCAAAAAGAATTAGAAATGTGGCTCAAATGGTAGAATACCAGCTATGAGCAGAAAAGGTTGAGCGATCCTGAGTTCAAGTCCTAGTACTGATATAAAAAGAAAACAAGGGCTGGGAAGGTGGCTCAGTGGTAGAGCGCTTGCCTTGCATGCTTGAGGCCCTGGGTTCGATTCCTCAGCACCACATAAGCAGAAAAAAAAAAGCTGGAAGTGGTGCTATGGCTCAAGTGGTAGCGCACTAGCCTTGCGCTGAAGAACAGCACCCAGGCCCAGAGTTCAGGCCCCACAACCGGACCCAAAAAAAGAAAACAAAACTCTGTGTTCCAACTTTCTCCACTGCAATTCCAAGGTGGAGAACCATGCTCCAAGGTGGAGAACCATGGCTCTACTCTGTTGTATTATCCCGTTCCCATATACTATTCTTTTGCCTCTGAAGTCAGCCTTCACCCAGCCCCTACTAGTCCTCCACCCCCAAGTCTGTGCTGGCTTCAGTCAAGTGCTGAGAGATGTGCCCAGCTCCATAACTCCTGTAGCATTCCCAGCTAGTAGTACCCAAAGCCTCTTAGATTGAGCATGGCCCCACATGAGAGCTGCTCATTGAGTAATGACCAGCTGGAGCCCCATGTGTTCTGCCCAGGTCCCCAGCCCAAAGTTTGGATCCCTTCACTCACACCCTACCCACACCTCCATCCAGTGCACCACCAGTTGAATGTGTAGTTGCAGCCCCTTTTGTGGGCCTGGTCCTCAAACATCCTCTATACCTCCAACCAGGAGTCAGATAAAAGTCCCAAAAGACACACCTCATCCTGCTAGAGACCCATATCCCCTCTATTGACTTCCTGGCAGCCCCCAGGATCTAGCTCCTGCTCCTGCCTTAGTAATCACTATTTCCCATGAACCACCTGTGTGCCTAGGCTAAGCAAGAATCCAAGGGTCTCCTGTAAATCAACCTCATGCACTCTGAGGCTTCCTTTGCCTCCTGGATCCTCTTCAGATCCTTCACTTCTTCAGGCACCCTCATCCTCCTACCTCCTCTCTCTTCCCTTTCTTCTCTTGTCTTCCTCTAGGAGGATGATGCCAGGACTTACTGCCCTTGAGTGGTATGGGAATTACTTTTTGCTAGCCATGGGGCTTGAACTCAGGACCTGGGCACTGCTTCTGAGCTCTTTTTCTCAAGGCTAGTGTCGTATCGTTTTGAGTCACAGCTCCACTTTTGGTTTTCTGGTGGCCAATTTGGAGATAAGAGTCTCATGTCTTTTCCTGTCTGGTCTGGCTTTGAACTACACTCTTCACATCTCAGCCTCCTGAGGATCTAGGATTATAGGTGTGAGCCCCACCAGTGCCCAGCATTATGGGAATTCTTAGAAAGTGTGTAATAATCTGCTCAGTGTTCAGTAAATATTCACTGAACAAGTAAGTGATGAATGCTCCTGGATTTTAGGGACTGGTAGGTATCACAACAAATCATTGGCAAGGGGTCTGCTTCAGCCAAATTGCCAGGAACCCCCAGACTTTTTATGTAAATCTCAATTTTTCAGTAGTAGCAGTAAATTCACAAAAAGTAAAACCATTGTACCAGGCATATGTGTGTGTGTGTGTATAGCTATATATATATATATATATACATATATATATATATATATATATATATATTGCCATGCATGAAGCCCTGGATTCAATCCTTAGCTACACACACACACACACAGACCCTTGTTTGCTTGTACCCCTGCTCATCTTTGTGATACTGTGCTTTTTCTAAGGGACCATGAATTCTAGGGGTAGGGGCTTGTACCTCTAATTGCTCATGAGGACTCAGGGACCTGTACCTGTGGTTGCCTCTGCAGGAAGGTGATGCACTGGGCACCATGGAGAAGCTATGCCGGCAGTTGACCTACCACCTCAGCCCCCACTCCCAGTGGAGGCGCCACCGTGGACTGGTGAAGAGGAAGCCACAGGCCTGGTGAGTCACAATCTCCTGTGGCTCATTCTTCTGCCCCAGCTCCTGGTTGTGATGCCCTGCTAGGGTAGGGGGTTAAAGGGAAGGGCTAGAGCCAAAGGAAGTGTCTGGGAAGCCTGCTGGAAGGAGATGAGGGCAAATGGAATTTAAGGTCCAGGAGAGTAGGACACCCTACCTGATATGTATGATGGAAGCTGGGTCAGGGAGAGAGATGTGGAGTTTCTAGTTACTAGAGTACTAAAAGTGGGTGCTTCCAGTACAACCCTCTGGTTCTCTGGGATGTTCTCCTGGGGGAACCCAGACTGTAGCCATGTGCCTGGCCCATACATCAGTAAGCACCTTCTGGGATTCTGTGTGGCCTCTAAAGAAGACTGGCAAGGGTTAGGGGGACGTGAATCAAAACTACGGAGAAGCAAGGAGCATCTTAGAAAGGAAGCGGATGGGTGTTGGAGGGCAGGTTTTCTGCAAATGACCCAGGGTAGAGTGGCTGGCCTTCTGAGAGATTTTAGTAAGGCTTTGTGGGCTCGAGACTGCCTTCCTATCATTTTTTTTTTTTTGGGGGGGGGAGTCCGGTCGTGAGGCCTGAACTCTGGACCTGGGCTTTGTCCCTCAGCTCTTCAGCTCAAGGCTAGCACTCTACCACTTGAGCCACAGTGCCATTTCCAGCTTTTTTATTTTTATTTTTTTTTTGCTTATGTGGTGCTGAGGAATCGAACCCAGGGCCTCAGGCATGCAAGGCAAGCGCTCTACCACTGAGCTACCTTCCCAGCCCCTTCCTATCTTATTGATGAGAGCAAGTTCTGGTACCTCCTTCTGTACACTCCACCTGCAAAACTGAAAGAGAAAATGGATCTTAGGGAGGCCTTCCCAGGCAGACAGAAGACTGACAGCAAGAGCCATAGATGGGAACTGACAAGAGATAGGAGAAGCCATGGGATCTGGAATGCATAAGGCAGCTTTGTGAGCTACTTCTTCACTGTTACAAGGAGTTCTGTGGGTATCTAGGGACCTCTTCTGTCTGATGCACACACTTGTAGGCCCAGTCCATTCTTCATTGGGGATCCATGTAAATGAAGCCTGCTCATTTCTCTCAGGTAGTTTCTCATACTTGAGTAAAATCCACACAAGGGACTGTGATTGTCAGTTCTTCCTGACCCTAGCCATATTGGCCTTCCTGCTGGCTTAGAAACACACTAAGCCTTCCAGCCTCAGGGCCTTTGCACCTGTATTCCTCTGTTAGAACTCTTCCCAAACTCTGCTGATGGCCCATACTTTATCTTCAAGTCAACTCATATGTCACCTCCTGTTAGGGGTGGTGGCACAAACCAGTAATCTAACTACTGAGTGGGTTGAGATCTGATTTGATTCTAACCTGGGAAAGAAAGTCTGTGAGATTTATCTCCAGCTAGCCACCAAAAAGCCAGCAAAGGAGCCTTGGCTCAAGTGGTAGAGTGCTAGCATTGAACAAAAAAGCCAAGCAAGTGTGCAAGGCCCAGTACCAGCATATACACACAAAATGCCATGCCTTGGGAGTTTTACCTTGCAACTCGGTTATGAGGCAAACAAGCCTCCCAGTTTCAGGAGACTTGGCTGGTTCTACCAATCTGTGCCCTTGCCTTAACCTGTGAGCCCCTTCCCCCCTCATCCTTCCTGGGGTTGGGGCCTCCTAGGGCCTAGCCTGGGGTACTTGGGAATTCAGAACATCTTACCAATGCAAAGAGAGAAGGGCACACCCACCAGCAGGTAGTGCAACCTGGTTCTGAAGCCTGAAACAGATGGCAGGGAGAGGGAGGGGCTGAGTCCTGAGGAGGCAACTGATCCCACCAGGCCTGGGCCCTGAGCCCTCCCCTGCCTGCTGCCCTAACTGGGAAGCGAAACTTCAAAGACAGGCCTCATAGTCCTTGAGCCTGTTAGAAAAGACTCAGCTGCCACTCAAGGGTGGCTCAGCCCAGGTGTCTACAGACATCTTGACAGCTACAAATGTTTATTCATCATTCACCTGAAGAAGGTAATATCCTGAATGCTTTGCATTTATACTACATAAAAACCCTTATATTGTTAGCTTCTTTCTGCTTTTGCTGGTACCACAGTTGAACTCAAGGCCTCCCACTTGCTCTACCACTTGATGCATGCCTTCAGCTTGGCTTTTGACTTGAACTTTGCCCCTTCTCTCCTTCAGCCTCAAGGCTCTCCTGACTGGGAACCCTCCAGACAATACAGTGGACCTGTCAGGCATTCCACTGACTTCCCGGGACCTGGAGCGGGTGACCAGCTACCTGCAGCGCTGTGGTGAGCAGGTGGACAGTGTGGAGCTGGGCTTCACGGGCCTCACAGATGACATGGTCCTGCAGCTACTGCCAGCCCTCAGCACCCTGCCTCGCCTCACCACACTAGCCCTCAATGGAAACCGGTTGACCCGGGCCCTGCTGCGCGACCTCACTGACATGCTGAAGGACCCCAGCAAGTTTCCCAATGTCACTTGGATTGACTTGGGCAACAATGTGGACATCTTCTCTTTGCCCCAGCCCTTCCTGCTCAGCCTGCGCAAGCGGTCTCCAAAACAGGGCCACCTACCAACCATCCTGGAGCTGGGGGAGGGTCCTGCCAGTGGGGAGGAGGCCAGGGAAGGGACAGTGAGCCAGGACTCTGAAGGGCTACATGTGGTACTTTCCGAAGACCAAGAGAGCAAGGGAACCGCAATTGAAACGTGACATTGAGAGCGCATCACCAGACCATCCTTGTGTAAGGCTAAAGCAGTTTGGGGATGAGATTATGGCTGCCAAGTCAACCTGGGCAGCCTCCCACACAGAAAAATAGCCCAGTGCACCAGGAAAGGGTGTGTTCATGGCTTTAATTCATACCACTCAAGACACATGCCCCAGAGTACCTGCTTGGTGGCTTGAGACTCCAGGGACCTCTCAGTGTAGCCCTTGCCTTGTGGAAATGGCACCTACACCTAACACAGGACTTCACAACTCTTAACTCATCTTTGGAAGGCAAACTCCAGACAGATGCTAAACATGTTCCCAATCCTAGGATCCTACTGAGGAAGGAGGGTGGTTGACAGCGGATCCCACAGTAGTCTTGATGAGTGTGAACATTTGGCAGCACACTTCGAAAGCCTCACTTTGGGCCACCACCCTGCAGTGTTTATTGTCCTAACAGCATGTCTAGGTCAAACTTAAAGCTAGAAAAACTTTGAAAATTCCTAGTCCTCACATGGGCCATTAATGAACCTGGCTCCCTCCCTTCTGGGTGGATTTCATTCCCTTTAGCAAAAAAAGCTGCTAAAGTATACTTTTAATCATTGCTATTTCACTATTGATTTAAAAGTCAGGACCATGAACAGGAGACAAATTGGGAGACTACCCACACACACCTGCCTCTTCTACAGTACTAACAAGATCAGGAGCCAACCATTTCCATTTAGGTACTCAAAAGTCAGTAAAATTTTGTGAGCCAAGTATGTAGTAGAACAGCCTAGGACAATCTGATCAAAACTGGCCAATAAGCCTCTACAAGTAGGGCAGATACTACATAGGATGGAGATTGTACTGCTCAAAGATTCCAAGTAGACAGAATGGAGCCAAGTCATGACTCAAAAGCTAAGGTGGGACACAGAAGTGTGAATGCCTTAAATGCTTTGAGAGTTTTCTGCGCCTCTAAGTCTATAGTTGTAAAAACAGCTTAGACTGACCAGAAGTTTACAAACATGGTTGCTAAAGCTAGACTAATCACAAGTTTTACTTTCTTCAAATACACATTTTTAAGAACCAATAACAAAGAATTCTTTATTTCATATTAGTTTATGGTAGCTGTGTGAAGACATTTTGGGCTTAATGAAAATTTAAAGTTTAGGCCTGGGAAGCTCAGTGGTAGAGTGCTTGCCTTGCATGCATGAGACCCTGGGTTCGATTCCTCAGCACCACATAAGCAGAAAAGCCAAAGTGGCACTGTGGCTCCAGAGGTAGGGAGCTAGCCTTGAGTTGTAAGGCTGAGGGACAGCATTCAGGCCCCATGATCGACAACAAACAACGCCCCCACAAAACAAAGAAAATTTTAAGTTTATTGAATAGTACAGAAGTTTATTTTGGGCCATCTAACATGTTCCAAAAAAAAACCTGCCAAACCAGGGCTGGGAATGTGGCCCAGTGGTAGAGCACTTGCCTTGCATGCCTGAGGCCCTGGGTTCAATTCCTCAGCACCACATAAGCAAAAAGAAAAAAGCCGGAAGTGGTGCTGTGGCTCAAGTGGTAGAACGCTAGCCTTGAGCTGAAGAGTTGAGGGTCAGCGCCCAGGGCCCAGAGTTCAGGCCCCACGACCAGAACCAAAAAAAAAACCTGCCAGACCAATTTTAAGGATGGTCTGGCACAGGGTGAGCAGGCTTCTTCTGCAAACACTGAAGCCCAGCAGGGTTCCAAATTCCAAATCAAAAAATGACAGCTATGAACCCCCAGGATGGCCCGTCTTCTTCTTGATATATCCTGCAAAGAAACTACATTTTAGTCTAATTTTTGGCTGCAACCAACAAGCATTCACTCAACCTAAAGACACCTTCAGAAAACCATAGGCTCACCACTTCCAATCTGCCGGTAATTCCAGCTATTTTGGGTGATTTCATCATTCGATATCCATTTCTTTAAATCAATTTTTGACCACTAGGTGCTTAGTTATTCCACCCTGAAATTTGTTATGAAGATCAAGACTTACCACCTTAGACTGAGCTGAACTGCATGCAACTTTCCTCAAACTCCAAGGACTAGAGACCATAGCCACCTATGGAGGGACAGAACCATTTCTGATGAAAGCCTCTACTTATAAAGTCACAAACTGAAAACCCATCCTAAGACCCACAAGCCCCTCAATATTTAAAAACCATAGCTCCAACTAGCTATTCTAGGGTCTCATCTACAGAGCACACAGGCAACTTCTCCAAGGCAGTGGGAACCCCTTCCTAACTACATTACATTCAGCTCTTACCTCCCCCGCAATCTCTAGTTAGTAGGAGGTGTTCTGTCAGTAAAGGCCAATGTTTACCTCATAGAAAGCCGGGTCTTCTGGCTCCCATCTCAGCTGGTTCCATTAATCTGCAACCTGGGCAAATATAACAACCATGTTTAGAGTTCAAACCAACATAATAGTGTCCCCAACAGCTCACTAGCTTGCTCACAAGCTCACTTGACTGCAGTCAGCCAGGAATAGTTATCGTCAGTTATCGCTTCTGACGGCACTTCCTACTAGTGATTTCATCAGAGCAGCCAAGCATCTCTTCTCCCACCCTCCAGACATCTTGTCTTTAACACTCACAGGAGATATTCAAGAGTCGCCATAACTCACAAGTCAGGCCGTTGGTTCCGACAATCTAATACTACAGAAAATGCAGCTAAAACCATCAAGGGCCCAGTGATTAGTCACTTGATCTTACCTCATAGCGAGTGAAATGCTGCTGTCTCCAACCTCCTGCCGTAGAGCAATCTGAAACATTAGAAAAGGGAAGTGGTTTCGTACAAATCCCAACACATACCTAAAACATGTCGAGGCTCGAGGGACTGCATTCAGATGTAAACGTGAAAGTCGTCAGTTCTCGCATCTGACGGCACTTCCTATTACTAGTATCATCAACCCAGCCACGTGCACTGACTGCAACCCAGCCACGTGCACTGACTGCAACCCGTCCACGTGCGAGCACCCAGGTGCCCCAAGCCTCAGACGCGCGGACGCCAACCTACCCAATTTCCCCATGTTTGCCTTCTTCATGGCGGGCGGGGGAACTGAGTCCTACCCTTCGCGGACGCCCGACTCCGGTGGCGGTGGCGCTGCAGAGAGAACACACGACTGTAAGCCGCCGTGGATTTAAGCCAACGCGGCCCCCGAGGTGCCCCAACACCGGGCTTCACAAATAGGGCCGGAAACAGGGCCACAGCCGCCTGTAGCTAAGCTCCCGAGAACCATGTTCCCGGCGGCGTACCTCGGCCTCTTGCACTCGCGGCTTGCAACCGTATCCCCACACAACACCTACCTGCATAAGGGCCAGAACGAAGAGAGCCTCCCGCCCGTGCTCCCGGCTCTTAAAGAGTCGGGATAGTCCAATTCTCACTTGAGGGAGGTGAGACTGGCAAAGACTCACGGGAACTTCCAGCCCATTTAGCGATACAGGTTCCTAGTATCAACCGAGACACTCCCCTATCCTGTTGAGCCATTGGTCTCTTCCATCTCCCAGCGAATTCTGGGTAACAGAGCAAGCGGCGAGTTCCGGAGCGCCCTAGCGCTGGGCGCGTGCGCATTCTCGCCTGTCTGCCACGAATGCTCCTTCCCTTGTGGATTCTACTGGAACGTGAAGTCGAGATCGCCCCTGAAGAAGGTTGTTTGTAGGATTGCGTAAGATAACAAAAGAGGCGCTGGGAAGGTGGCTCAGTGGTAGAGCGCTTGCCTCGCAGGCATGAAGCCCTGGGTTCGATTCCTCAGCACCACATACACAGAAAAACCGGAAGTGGCGCTGTGGGTCAAGTGGTAGACCAGCTAGCCTTGAGCTGAACTGCTGAGGGACAGCGCCCAGGCCCAGAGTTCAGACCCTACGACTGACACTAATAATAACAAAAATTGCAAGCCGGGAGCTGGTGGCTCACGCTGTAATCCTAGCTACTCAGGAGGCTGAGATCTGAGGATCACGGTTCAAAGCCAGCCCGGGCAGGAAAGTCCATGAGACTCTTATCTCCAATTAACACTTGAAAACCAGAAGTGGCGCTGTGGCTCAAGCAGCAGAGCGCTAGCCTTGAGCTGAAGAGCGCAGGGACCGCGCCCACCAGAGTTCATTGCAGCCGGGTGGCGGTGGCTCAGGCCTGTAATCATAGCTATTCAGGAGGCTGAGATCTGAGGATCACGGTTCAAAGCCGGCATGGGCTGATAGATTGAGGGTCTTATCTCTAACCAGAGGAAAAGCCAGAAGTGGAGCTTTGGCCTTGAGAAAAAAAAACTAAGGAGGAATGAGGTCTTGAGTTCAGGCTTCAGTACTGGCCAAAAAAAAGTGGGGGAGGAGGGGCCGGAAGGAAGCTATGTTAGCTACTATCACCACCACACTTCCGTCTGCCCCCGGGACTGGGATGTGGCAGGTGAACTTTTTTTTTTTTTTGGGGGGGGGGATTGGGTCGTGGGGCCTGAACTCTGGGCCTGGGTGCTGTCCCTCTGCTCTTCAGCTCAAGGCTAGCGCTCTACCACTTGAGCCACAGTGCCACTTCCGGCTTTTTTCTTTTTGCTTATGTAGTGCTGAGGAATCGAACCCAGGGCCTCATGCATGCAAGGCAAGCGCTCTACCACTGAGCCACCTTCCCAGCCCCAGGTGAACTTTTTATGCCTAGGTGAGGAGTAGGAACAGCTGAGCTACATCCCCATACTGAGACTTGCAGACATTACTGGCCTGAGGGCCCCCCAAATTTTGCTTAAATAATTCATCCAGAAGAATTAGTTGTGAAAAAAAAATATATATATATATATTTATATTTACAACCAAAATTCAAGAGCCCGAGAGCTGGCAGGTATAACTAGGAGGATTGTCCGTTCTACACTGCTGGCTTTCTACTACATCTGGTTCATCAGTGGGACTGGAGTACTTGGAGGGGCAGATGATCTTTCTCTGAGTCACGATCCTGATCCTCCACAGGCTGAGAGGATGAAATGGGGTTCTTCGAAGAGCCTGTAAACAGATGGGAAGAGCTGTGGTTTGGCCCTGGACTGTATTTCTTGGAGGCAGGTTCTAGGGAAACAGGAGGAGGTCTCAGCCATGAAAACCTAGAATGCTTTGTTGAGAGCAGGTGATCATGGGGCCCTGCAGCCCCTCCCTGTCTTGTTCCTTCCAGGATCATCTCTTAAAACCCCGCCAAGTCAGACAACAACTTCCTCTCTGAAGTGTAGAGTCCAGGAGGTGATAGGCTAAGAGTCAGAAATTAGAACATCTGAACCTTGCCAAAGAACGAGGAAACAAGTTAGATAGGGGGCCCATCCCCTAGGGAAGGTGGTAGATTTAGATACTCAGACAAGAGAAAGGGCACTTTAGCCAAGAATCCAAATTCAGGCAGAGTCAGAAACTAAAGAACAAGGAGTGCTGGTGGTCTGGGCCTTGACCTCCACACAGAAGTATGCCCTTCAGGCATTGGATAGTATTGGCTACCGGAAGTGTTTGTCTGCCTTAGGAGTGGACTGGGATACGTCTGGAACAGAAACTTGTCTGAAGGTTGGGGATGCGGGCTGAGTTGCCCTGCACTGCTACACAGGCCCAGGGGTAAATAGCTACCTAAGAGGTAAAGGACAGCAGAACTGCATGACACAGAGACCCTCAAAGCCTACTTGGGTGTGGGGTTACATACATGCTCCCTGCTAAGCAGCCCTGAGGTGTTCCCATTGGGGATGGAACAGCCTTTGGAGCAGGAGGCCTGTGGAGTATCTCAACAACTTGGAAAGCATCTGGTGTGGGGAGTCAGGAGGACCACAGACACAGGCATTGTACAGGAAAGAGGAGATGGGACAGAAGAGTTTATAGAAGCTGATGTGGAAACTCTGGAACTCTCAGGTGGGTCCAGAATCAGTCTTGGTGGAGGCAGCTAGGTGGGGACAGGAACGGCTATCTCTGCTAAAACAGAGAGGACACACAAAGCTGAGGAGAGGCACAGGCAATGGCTTTTCCTGCCAGGTATGAAAGGGCTAGGGGCTTGGGCACAGGGAGAACTTCTGGAGCCAGCAAAGCTGGGCTATCAGACCAGGCAGTGCGCCCCTCCCCCTGATGCCCCTCCCCCCCTCAGAGCCAGAGAGATGCCACCTGTACTGTGGACTGACAGAGTATGCCCTAACTTCTCCCTAATTTGTTTCTTTCTGGGTCCCCAGGCCTGCCAGACAGATCTTCAGTATAACCCTGTGCAGGGTATAACTTGGACAGGGAATGAGCATGGGGAGGGCAGGGGGGCAGGTTATAATTGGGGGACCCAATGGAAGGGCAGGCATGAGTGCAGCTGCAAAGTCCTACCCCAGAAACTCCCAGGCTGTGTAGCCCAGAAGACACACAAACACACCAGGGCAGAAGCTCTCCCCCTATAGCTACTCACCAGAGATGCCTGCCCCTGATGGTTCTTCACACACGGTGGCCAGTGTTTGCTCCCACGAAGCCCAGTTCACTTCCTCCACCCTGTGGTTGAAAGAGTAGCTTTAGGCTGGGAAGGTGGCTCAGTGGTAGAGTGCTTGCCTTGCATGCATGAGGCCTTGGGTTCAATTCCTCAGCACCACATAAGCAGAAAAGACTAGAAGTGGCGCTGTGGCTCAAGTGGTAGAGTGCTCGCCTTGAGCTGAAGGGCTGAGGGACAGTGCCCAGGCCCAGAGTTCAGACCCCAAGACCAACAACAACAACAAAGAGTAGCTTTAGCTCTAGGGAGCCAGCTATCCAGACTGTCCCAGGGAAGCACTTCCCCTCCCCCAGTAGGTAGACTGTAAATGGACACAGGGACCAGGAGGAAGATGATTTCTCTGCCTTCCTAGGCAGGGCACTGGGCCACTCACATCCCATGGGCCCTGTCCTTATGGCGGTCAGACTGCTCATAGAAGCCTGGGTTGCTCAGCACAAGCAGAAAAGAGAAATTGTGATCAGGCCTGCTTCAGGTGCGGGGGCCTTTTTATGGCTATTCTCATGATGTTTCCCCTTTCCCCCTGCCCAATCACTGCCTCATAAACATCTGCTTCTGGCTGCATCTGTCACGATGTTCCCTCTCCTGCTGCCTTGGTCTGCTCTGAGCAGGGAATAGCTCAGAGATCAGGCTTGAAGAATTTGGGTTGAGGCAGTACAGAGCAACTAAGGCAAGATTAATGGCAGTAAAACACCTAAAAGCCTCAAACATCGGCTTCTTGGCCAGTCACTGGGACAGATAGTTGACTAGGCAGGGCCTAGACCTGTCCTGTGAAGCCTCTATTGATCCTCAGCCTTGCTTCTCCCACCAGACCTGGCTCTTGCAGCCATCCTCTGCTTTTCAAGAGAGTAAGGCTGGCCTGTACTGTGCATGGCCCCTGGCGACTCCTGGGTCAGCACATCCCATGCCCACTTGCTCACCTGAAGCACCAGCGCTGGTCTGGGCTACCATCAGGCCGGGTGCCGACCGTCAGCATCACACCTGCCCGCTGCTTTTTCCTCCTGCACCACCAATAGCCATTCTCCATCTCCAAGACAGAAATGGCTTTCTGGAGACGAAAGACACATCAGACAGAGTAGACCCCATTTGAAGGAAGAGGCACACAGGACAAGGGGGATAGGAAAATGCTCACAGCACTTTCTAGTATAACCCTAGGTCCACTAAACACCTGGACTCAAATCCAGGTGTAATGCCTGATTAGCTGTATAGCGTGAAGTCCTAAACCTCAGTGCATCTCAGATGAGGATGACACACCTCAGCTCAGATGACTTGCTCTTACATTTCAGGCTTCAGAATTCTGCACCAGCAGGTACAAAACCTGCTCTGTGCCCTTCACGTGTGTATGCCCACTGGCACCTATGCAAGCACAGAGCACCTGGAGCACAGAACTTTGTGGATGAGATCACTGAGGCCCCATGGAAGATGAGGGACTGGACCCGGGACAGCAGTGACTGAGCAGCAGAGTCCAGCCTCCTGGGCAAGGCTCTAAGACCCACCTATCTGCTCACTGTAAGTGTGTTTCTATCACCACCTGACTTTGTTGCCTGCCAAATTGGCTCCATTTTGTATACAAAGAACACAGAATGGAAGCTCTGGGAGGGAAATGGTTTTGTCCTGTTCTCTGCTGCATGGAGTGCCTGGAAGTGTGCTCATCCCTATCAATAATAATACTTGACAGTAATGATGCTAGTGGTCACAGTGAAACATACATTGAGCACCTACTGTGTTATCCTAAGCACTCCATACCAATCAGCTTATCCTGTCCTCATAACTCTAGGAAGGAAAGAAGGAAGGACCCGGGGGTGATGGGGGCTAGGGGTTCACACTGCTGAAGTGAGCCCACTCAACTAGATGCTATGCTTTGGAGACCCCCACACACACCCACAGTAGGCCCAGCTCAAGCAAGGTCCCGAGTACGCCACAGTGGCCTCAGAACTTGGAATGGGGTGAGGGAAGGGAGCCTCTCAGGGCACCTGCAGCTTCCAGATGCTCCAGCTGTCTGTGGCCACGCTGTTGACAGTCTCGCTCATGAGGGCAATGAGCATGTTGAGCAGCAGCACGTAGGTGAGAAGCACGTAAGCCAGCAGCAGCAGCAGCACCACCCCACGGAAGCGCAGCTGCTCCTGGAAGGCCAGCTCGCCCATGCCGATGGTGAACTTGAAGAGCTCCAGTGAGGCATCCAGGATACCCCTGTACGGGGTTTCCTCCTCTTGTCCTGCGCTGAGCTGGGCCGCCTCTGTGGCATTGTCACCTGTAGGGACTCCCGTGATCTGGGCCTCCCGGCTCAGGCTCACCAGGGCTATGGGAGGGTGGAAGATGGTGTTCAGCCTGGGAGACCAACAGGAAGCTTTGAAGGGGTGCAGGGTGGGTAGGGGATAGGCAAGGGGCCTTTACCTACAGCAAAGCCGAAAAGGAAAACTAAGTAGACCAACAGGAAACGGAGCAAATCCCGGAGAATGACCTAGAACACAAGTTCAGGAGGGAGGCTGAGCATAGTGCACCACTCGCATGCATGCATGTACACACATGTAAATGCATACATGGGCCCTGTAAGCCACACTGAACAGAGGAGTCTTTGAGCTGGGCACTGGTGGCTTAGGTGTGCCATCCTAGTTACTCAGGAGGCTGAGGTTTGAGGATTGAGTTCAGGTGGGGAAATCCATGAGAATCTCTCTTATCTCCTGTTATCCAGCAAAAAACCAGAAGTGGAGGTGGGGCTCAAATGGTAAAGCACCAATCTTGGGCAAAAACCCTAGGCCCTGAGTTCAAGCCCCAGAACAGATACACACACCAAAAATATCTACTTTTAGATCATAACATTCTCCGACTTAAAACCTTCAATGGTCAAAAAATTAAATAGAGCTCCTCAGGACTCTGGGGTGGCCTGCCTGTGGCCTCTCTTTCCTGTTGGAGCACAACAGGTTAAAAAAAAAAAAAAAAAATTAAATATAGCCAAGTGGCAGTGGCTTACATCCATAATCCTAGCTACTCAAATGGCTGAGATCTGAGGATTGCACTTTGAAGCCAGCTAGAATAAGAAAGTCCTTAAGACTTTTTTTTTTTTGGTCGGTCGTGGGGTTTGAACTCTGGGCCTGGGCGCTGTCCCTCAGCTCTTCAGCTCAAGGCGAGCGCTCTACCACTTGAGCTACAGCGCCACTTCCGGTTTTCTGGTGGTTTATTGGAGATAAGAGTTTCACAGTCTTTCCTGCCCGGGCTGGCTTTGAACCGCGATCCTCAGATCTCAGCCTCCTGAGTAGCTAGGATTACAGGCGTGAGCCACCAGTGCCCGGCAGTCCTTAAGACTCTTAACTCTAATTAACCACAAGAAAAGCCTTAAGTATCGCTGTGGCTCAAGTAGTACACTGCTAACCAGCAGAAGCTCATGGACAATGCCCAGACTCTGAGTTCTTATAAGCTCCAGGACTGGCACACACAAAAAAGTTAAATGTAGAATTAAAATATGACTTAGTAATTCCACTTCTGAGTATATATATAACAAAAAAGAATTGAAAGTAGTAGTCTGAACAGCTGTTTGCATAACATGAATACATTGGCACTATTCCTAATAGCCACATTATGGAAGCAATGCAAGTGTCCATCAACAAAAGAGTGGATACACAAATACTATTCAGTCTTAAAAAGGACACTTGGTGGGCTGGGAAGGTGGCTCAGTGGTAGAGCGCTTGCCTTGCCTGAGGCTCTGGGTTCCATTCCTCAGTACCACATAAGCAAAAAGAAAAAAGCTGGAAGTGGCGCTGTGGCTCAAGTGGTAGAGCGCTAGCCTTGAGCTGAAGAGCTGAGGGACAGCGCCCAGGCCCAGAGTTCAGGCCCCACGACCGGACCCAAAAAAAAAAAAAAAAAAGGACACTTGGTGACAACATGGGTGAATCTTGGCCACACTGTGCTAAGTGAAATAAGTCAGTCACAGACAAAGATATGTGATTCTATTCACGTGAAATAACAACCACACTTTTCTTTTTCTCGCTCTGTTCTTTTCTAGCTCTTGCTCTTCTTTTCTAGCTCTCTCTGCTCTTTTCTAGCTCTTTCCTCTCTTGCCCAGAGCTCTTGCTCTTCTTTTCTAGCTCTCTCTGCTCTTTTCTAGCTCTTTCCTCTCTTGCTCAGACTCTCTCTCTTTCTCTCTCTGTTCGTTTCTAGCTCTTGCTCTTGCTCTTCTTTTCTAGCTCTGTCTGCTCTCTCTCTGCTCTAGCTCTTTCCTCTCTCTTTCCCAGCCACGTGGAGTGCCAACCTTGCCTGGTCCCAGCAGGTCTACTGGATAAACCTACCCCTTATCCGAATACCACGTGAGTGCTACTGTTCTTACCCCTCTCTCTGCTCTTTTCTAGCTCTTTCCTCTCTTTCCCAGCTCTCTCCTTCCCAGGCCTTTCCCAGCCACGTGGAGTGCCAACCTTGCCTGGTCCCAGCAGGTCTACTGAATAAACCTACCCCTTACCTGAAAAAAAAAAAAAAAAAAAGAAAGAAATAACAACCACAGGCAAATCATAAAAACAGAATGCAAAGTGGTAGCTGCCAGGGGTTGGAGAAAGGAATGGGTATTATGTTATTGAACACTATAATGGGCATCAAATTCCAGTTGGTAGAGATGAAAGTGAGTTGGAGTTAGACAGTGATCATGGCTGTACAATATGAATGCACTTAATACCCTTCAATGGTACACTTAAATTGTTAAGTAGAGCTCTAAGTATGGTTCAAGTGGTAGAGTTGTCACTGGCAAACACAAGGCTCTGAGTTCAAACCCCACTACCACCAAAAAGAAAATAGTGGGGCTGGGAATGTGGCTTAGTGGTAGAGTGCTTGCTTAGCATGAAGCGCTGGGTTCAATTCCTCAGTACCACATAAATAGAAAAAGCCAGAAGTGGCGCTGTGGCCCAAGTGGTAGAGTGCTAACCTTTTGCAAAAGAAGCTCAAGGACAGTTCCCAGGCCCAAATTTCAAGCCCCAGGACAGGCAAAAAAAAAAAAAAAATTAAAACTATAAATTTTGTTAAGTCCATTTTTGCCATAGTTTTAAAAAAAGGGCAAAACAAAACAATAAACAAAAACCTTTTCAGGACAGCAGCCAGTGGCTCATGCCTGTAATCCTAGCTACTCAGAAGGCTGAGGTCTGAGCACTGAAGTTTAAAGCCAGCCCAGGCAGAAAAAGTACCTAATTAACCACCAAAAAGACAGAAGGTGCTTCTCAATGGGTAGACCACTAGCCTTGAGCAAAAACGCTCAAGGAGAGTGCCCAGGCCCTGAGTTCAAACCCTAGGACCAGCACATACACAGAGAAAAATTTGAAAAGACAACAACAACAAAACTTCTGCAAGCTTCCAAACCCCTCCCCACAGCATTCCCCAACCCCTACCTGCAGCCAGTTCCCTCTCCTTACTTGGCCTCAATCTCCAGCCACCTAGCCTCCTGCTCTGCCTCGAACAGTCTCAGCTTGGTCTGGCTCATTAGCCTTTTCCCTTCTACAGCTGCCTCCTCCTCCCATAGAGTGAACCATTCTTTCAGGTTTCCACTTCCAGGCTGGAGGTGCAGCTCATTGATGATTGAGTACCTAGCTAGCCAGGACCTTGTTCCATCCCCACCCCTGCATATATTTTAAAAAAAACAACAGCCGGGCATCAGTGGCTCACACCTGTAATCCCAGCTACTCAGGAGGCTGAGATCTGAGGATCTCGGTTCAAAGCCAACCTGGGCAGGAAACTCCTTGAGACTCTTCTCTCCAATAAACCACTCAGAAAACCGGAAGTGGTGTTTTGGCTCAAGTGGTAGAGTGCTAACCTTGAGCTGAAGAGCTGAGGGATAGCCCCCAGGCCCAGAGTTCAAGCCCCACAACCGACAAAAAAATAACATTTTTTTTTTTTCATTTATACAATTTTGTGGTTGAGGATAGTCTGGGTTGTTTCCTTTGAGGCAGTCCTGGGGCTTGAACTTGGGGCCTTTCTGGCTCAGCATGGGCCCTATCACTTGAGTGTCCAGCTTTCTGCTAGAGATAAGAGTCTCACAGTCTTTTCTGCCTGGGCTGTCTTTGAATCTCCATTCTCAGATGTCAGTCTCCTAAGTAGCTAGGATACAGGTGTGAGCTACTGTGCCTGGCTTAGGTGTTTTTGTTTTGTTTTGTCTTTTGGCCACTCCTGGGGCTTGAACTCAGGTCCTTAGCACCGTCCCTGAGCTTTTTTGCTCAAGGCTTGCACTCTACCACTTGAGCCACAGTACTACTTCTGGCTTTTTCTGTTTATATGGTACTGAGGAATCAAACCCAGGGCTTCATGCATGCTAAGCAAGCACTCTACCACTAACCTACATTCTCAGCCTGGCTTAGAGTTTTTTTTTTTTTTCCTTAGCATTTCCATTCCTGCCCTGGAATGTCAGCCTAAGGAGAGCAGGGACTTTTCTGTTTCATGCCCAACACTGAGAACAAGGCCTGGCCATCATAGGCCCTCTCTTAACATTAGTGAAATAAGTAAGTGAATGTAGACACTTGAAGATTGCCCTCTGTCCCAAGGCACAGGCACACAGCTATCTGTGTTTTCTCTGCTCCTTCCTGAAGGAGGACATACATGTTCCCATGTTGACACTTGGAAACGTGTATGTGCATGGGTCTGCACAAATGTGTAGATGGAGAGCAGGTACATGCATGCCCGTCCTTAAGGTAAGTGTTTGGGTGAATGACACAGGTATGTGTTTATACCCTCCATATCAGCTGCAGAGAAGGTGCCTGTCTTCTGAAGCGAAAATTTGGCCTTCTGAGTTGTGGTTGTCACTACTGCCTAGTTTGGCTGCCCTCAGATTCTATTTCCCCACCAGACTACCCCATCTCTCACCTTCTGGATCATGACACTGTAGATGCCTGTGTGCTGGAAGCCTCGTGTATAGTAAAGGAGGTTCAGCCAGCCCAGCACCAGGGAGGACACAAGCAGGGGCAGGTACCACTCATTGTTCACGAAACACAGAACCTGCGACAGCACGGTGAGCAGGGCCTGGACCAGGCTGCATGGACACAGAGACTCAGTCAACTCCCCAGCCATCTGGCAATGTCCCCCAATTCTTTTTTTTTTTTTTTTGGGTCCAGTTGTGGGGCCTGAACTCTGGATCTGGACGCTGTCCCTCAGCTCTTCAGCTCAAGGCTAGCACTCTACCACTTGAGCCACAGCACCACTGCTGGCTTTTTTCTTTTTGCTTATGTGGTGCTGAAGAATCGAACCCTGGGTTTCATGCATGCAAGGCAAGCGCTCAACCACTGAGCCACCTTCCCAGCCCTGTCCCCCAATTCTTGCTGCCCAGCTAACCACTACTGCCTCTCCCACCACAGTCTGGTGGTTTGAGGTGCCTTCCATCTGTCTGGGACCAGAGCCAATCAGAGGTAGCTCTCCATCTTGGGCACGTTATTTAGTGCCTGTGGCCCCAGCTGTCTCGCTTGTAAACTCAGGAAGAATAATGATTAAGTGTGATACTACATGGAAAGTTCAGGCCTCCCTGGAAGTGTAAGCTTATCACAATCTACAAGCATGGGAGTACAAAGGATCCCTGACTAGAATGGTAGCCAGGACTCCCAAGTCTGACCTGCACCCAAGTCCTAACCTCCTGTAATGCCTTGGGCCCCCATGTCCTTGCTTCTAAAATCAGCCTGCTGTCCTCTGCCACTCCCAGGCCTCAGAGACAGCAGGAGATGAGGAGTGAGAGACCCACGTACAAGAGGATTTCAAAGTAGCTGTCCATGAACGAGATCCAGATGAACAGGCGGCGGCGCCAGAAGTACCACGTCTGTGGAGGAGGAGGACAGAGGGAGGTAAAATGTGCTCTCCTGCCGGGTGCTGGTGGCTCATGCCTGTAATCCCAGCTACTCAGGAAACTGAGATCTGAGGATCGGGGTTCAGAGCCAACCCAGGCAGAAAAGTCTGTGAGACTATCTCCAATTAATCACCAGAAAACCAGAAGTGAAGCTGTAGCTCGAAGTGGCAGAGCACTATCCATGAGCAAAAGAGCTCAGGGACAGAGCCCAGGCAGAGTTTAAGCCCCATGACTGCCAACAACAACTTGCTCTCCAGACACAAGAATAGCTGGGCTGAGCCAGGTGCCAGTGGCTCACGCCTGAAATCCTAGCTATTCAGGAGGCTGAGATTCAAAATTCAAAGCCAGCCGGAGCAGGAAAGTCCGTAAAACTCTTATCTCCAATAAACCACTCAGAGAACCGGAAGTGGTGCTGTGGCTCCAGTGGTAGAGCTCTAGCCTTGAACTGAAGAGCTGAGGGACAGTGCCCAAGCCCAGAGTTCAGGCCCCACAATGGACAAAAATAAAAAAAGAATAGCTGGGCTGCCCACCAGACCTTTAGTCTAGTTCTCTACCAGCACCACCTTGGAGGTTAAGGTGGTAGCTTTATTTTTGAGATGAAGCATCTCATTATTTTATCCAGGCTGGCCTTGAACTTGGCATCCTTCTGCCTTAGTGTCCTGAGTAGCTGGCATTCACCACCATACCCAGTGGGGGACTCAGGAATCCTAAAAGCTGAATAGCTCTTGATTCTCTTTCCAAAAAGAGTATCCAAGAAGGGCATGGTGGCAGATGCCTTAATCCCAGCTACTTGAGAGGTTGAGGCAGGAAGGTTGCTTTAGCTCAGGAGTTCAAGATCAGCCTGGCAAGACCCTGTCTTAAGTTAGAAAGGAAGGAAGGGAGGGAGAGAAAGGGAAGGAAGGAAGGAAGAAAGAAAGAGAAAGAAGAAAGAAAGAAAGAGGGGGGAAGGAGGGAGGGAGAAAGGAAGGAAGGAAGGAAAAAGAAAAGAAGAGGTTGAACACTGGTGGCTCATACTTATAATCCTAGCTACTCAGGAGGCTGAGATCTGATGATCACAGTTCAAAGGCAGCCTGGGCAGAAAAGTCCCCAAGTCTCTTATCTCCAATTAACCACCCCCAAGCCAGAAGTAGATCTGTGGCTCAAAGTGGTAGAGTACTAGCCTTGAGAACAAAAGCTCAAGGACAGCACCCAAGACCTGGATTCAAGCCCCACAACAAGAAAGACAGAAAGACAAACAGACAGAAAGAAAGGAAAGACAGAGAGAGGGAAGGAAGGAAGGAAGAGAGGGAGGGAGGGAGGGAGAGAGAGAGAGAAAGAGGGGAGGGGAGTGAGGGGTGGAGGGAAAAGGAAATAAAGTAGCCACCTAGACAATGTGACAGGGGCTCCTGGTCTCTCTGCACCCAGATGAAGGGGTGTCCTGCATGCAGACAGGAAGAGGATCCTTTCTGTTTCCCCTCACTGCTCTCTGGAGAAACATCCCATACTCCACCCACGCTGGTCGTGGTGCCCAAGTTTTCCTGTTCTCATAAGGTTTCAATGTGCAGCGTGGCTCCACTGAACTTGCCACATTCCCCATCTTCAATGCCCTGCTGTGGAGTTGAGCTGAGCCCCACCTACCATCAGCCCCAGCCAGCTGAGGGACCTGGGTGCAGGGGTTCCTCTACATTCCTGAGGGAGCAGAACCTGAACTGCCAGGGAACCAGAGAAACCATCTGGTTCCCTTTGGGTAGCCTAGAAAGCACAGCAGAGAGAGTACCAGGCTCCATAAGGTGGGGCCAGAACCAATCATTCCAGTGCTGCTGGTTGGTCTGAGTGGGACAAGGTTTTCCCATCAATAAAAGGATTGTGGTTAACTCACTCTAAGATCCCAGTAAAGAATTCTAGTTTTTCTTCTTGGTCAGCTGAAGCCTTTACCTGGCCCAAGAGTAGGTAGATCCCCCCAAGCAGAATCAGAACATGGCCAAACAGCAACATGGAGTTTCCAGCTGTAGCTTTCATTGGAGAGAGGGCCTGCTAAAGACACACACAAATACATACTTCAGTAAGACTTGGGGCCTTGGGCCTAGCACTTTAGGAGTCACAGCTAAGGGACCATTCTGTGCCTGCATTACAGAGAAGCCACATCCAAGCAGCAAAGGAAATGTAGGCTCCAGGAAGGACTCTTGGCTTCTAGTTCTTTGAGGGGCATGTTGTATAGCATTTATGAATGCTGGGTTTGAAGCTAGACTGCCTAGGTTCAGGTCTGTCTCCATCTATCCAATAGATAATTTACCTAACCTCTTTGTACCTCCCTAACCTCAACAGTACACTGAAGATGACTTTAGTCCATTGTCCCAGAGTGTGTATGTGAGATGTATTAATTAATATATATCAGCCACTTAGAAACCAATCTTGAGGTCTGGGAAGGTGGGTCAGTGATAGAATGCTTGTCTTGCATGCATGAGGCCCTGGGTTCGATTGCTCAGTACCACATAAGCAGAAAAAGCCGGAAGTGGTGCTATGGCTCAAGTGGTAGAGTACTAGCCTTGAGCTGAAGAGCTGAGGGACAGCGCCCAGGCCCAGAGTTCAAGCCCCCCAAAATAATAAACAATTCAGCCGGGTGCCTGTAATCCTAGCTACTCAGGAGGCTGAGATCTGAGGATCACGGCTCAAAGCCAGCCAGGGTAGGAAAGTCCATGAGACTCTTATCTCCAATAAACCACTAGAAAACTGGAAGTGGCGCGGTGGCACAAGCAGTAGAGCGTTCACCTTGAGTTGAAGAGTGCAGGGACAGCACCCAAGCCCAGAGTTCAAGCCCTGACTAACCAAAAAAAAAGAAAAAGAAAAAGAAAAAACAACTCAGGCACATCACTCAAGCTGCCTCTGCCTCCCTGTGATCTTTTGTAGAAGGGGGATGGCATCCATTCTCTTTCCCCACATCCTCCAGAGTTCTTTCTAGCAGGCCTAACCCTAGGAAGGCCTCTTCTGAGCTCTCACCTTATCCAGGGCAGGCTGGTGGTAGGCAACAATGGTGAAGATAAGCATGTAGACAAGATAACACAGGAAGTTGAGGAAGAACCTGGGGATGAGCAGATCCCATTTGGCCTGCAACAATTTGTTCAGTGGCTCCAAAACCACCATACGGTGTCGGTGCTAGGGTTGAGAGGAGAGAGACAAGGCATCGATGTAGACAGAGTATTGAGAGCAAGTAGAGATGGGCACTCACTTTGTGCCAAACTCCATGCAAGGGCCAAGAACAATGAAGTAGACTTCTATACCCCAGGAGCCCCAGCTGGTCCCTCCCTACCTGACTCTACCCCAACCCTCTTGTCCATAGTGTAACTGAGGGCCTCGCCGCCATTCCAGAGCAGGTACATCCTCAGAGAGGCATCATTGGTCACCACAGGGACCTTGGCATGATCCCCATGGGGGTGGGACTTGAATGTAATATAAGTATAGGCTTAGTGGCCAGGGTCAGGGTCATGCCCTCCAGGATTTGTGGCCACACCTCCACTGGCACAAGGAGGGGTCAGGTGTGATCAGTGTCCTGACCCATTTTGCCAGGTGTTCTTCAAGGATCTTCAGGCACACCCAACCCCCCTTGGGCTCACCGGACTCCTACAATGAAAGGCAATGATCTCCAGCACTGAGTTTTCTTCCCAGCTGTCCACAGAGGCCAGGTCATACAGCGACACCCGCACAGGTCCATAGCACCACTCAGTGAACTTCCGGGACAGGGGCTGGCAGAGTCCTGAAAACTCCCGTTGCAGGATATGCCTGAAAATCTACAGGATGACCATGTAAGCTTGCCTGATGGGCCCTTCCTGGTATTAGTGCTGCCTGCCATCTTCAGAGCAGCAGCAGACAGACTCAGGCCCCTGCCAGGCACACTTGGGCTTGGAGTTTCCACACACTTACAAGCCTTTATGCTGATGGCTCATACCTATAATTCCAGATACTCAAAAGGCTGAAATCTGAGGAATGCAGTTCAAAGCCAGCCTAGGTAGGAAAGTCTTGACACTCCTACTCCTATCTCTAGTTAACCACCAAAAAGCCAGAAATGACACTGTGACTCGTGTGGCAGAGTGCCAGCCTTGAGTGAAGAAGCTAAGGGACAGAGCTCAAACTCTTTTTTTTTTTTTGGTCGGTGTGGGACTTGAACTCTGGGCTTGGGCGCTATCCCTCAGCTCTTCAGCTCAAGGTGAGCGGTCTACCACTTGAGTCACAATGCCACTTTGGTTTTCGAGTGGTTTATTGGCTATAAGAGTCTCACGGACTTTCCTGCCCGGGCTGGCTTTGAACCGAGATCCTGAGATCTCAGCCTCCTGAATAGCTAGGATTACAGGTGTGAGCCACTGGTGCCCGGCTACAGCTCAGACTCTTTAAGTACAAGCCCCAGTACATACACCAAAAAAAAACAATCAATCATAGCCAAGTGCCAGTGGCTCATGCTTATAATTCTAGCTATTCAGGAGGTTGAGATCAGAGGATCGTGGTTTAAAGCCAGCCTGGGCAGAAAATTCCATGAGACTCTTATCTCCAATTAACCACCAGAAAACTGGAATTGGTGCTGTGGCTCAAGTGGTAGAGCACTCACCTTGAGCTGAAGAGCTCAGAGACAGCACTCAGGCCCAGAGTTCAAGCGCCATGACTGACAAAAAAAAAAAAAAATCAATCAAAGTGGGTGGGGAAGTGGCTCAGGCTCAAGTAGTAGAGTACCTGCCTAGAAAGTATAAGTCCCTGAGTCAAACCCCATTATCATACCAAAAAAAAAAAGGAAAAGAAAAGAAACCACAAAAGAAACACAGATATGGATATTCTACATAATTATGTTATTATATAATTTGTAGCACAGACTATAAAATTACATGACATAATTATGCATAACCTAATTATATATAATCATATATAATATGATTGTTATATTGTATGTATTACATATATATATAATTTTATAGAAGGAATTAAGTAATATTAAAAAAAGAAACGAGGGCTGGGAAGGTGGCTCAGTGGTAGAGTGCTTGCCTTTCATGCATGAGACCCTGGGTTCAATTCCTCAGCACCACATAAGCAGAAAAGGCCGGAAGTGGCACTGTGGCTCAAGTGGTAGAATGCTAGCCTTGAGCTGAATTGCTGAGGGACAGCGCTCAGACCCAGAGTTCAGGCCCCAGGACCGGACCCAAAACAAAACAAAAACACCACGTCAATAAAAGCTAGCTCTCTTAAAAAAAAAAAAAAAGTTACAGCCAGGAACTGGTGACTCATGTCTGTAATCTCAGCTGCTCAAGAAGCTGAGATCCAGAGAATCTCAGCAGTTCAAAGCCAATTCATACAGTAAAGTCTGTGAGACTCCATCTCCAAGATAGCCAGTGGGGGGTGGGGAGGGGGCAGAAACAGGCTGGAGCCAGGTTTCAGTGGCCCATACCTGTAATCCTATTCAGCTCAGGGACAGCACCCAGGCTCAGAGTTCAAGTCTCAGGACCAAAAAAAAAAAAAAAAAAAAAGCTCAGGCATATCACTCAAGCTGACCACTAGGCCTATACTCATAGTCAGGAGTCTGAGATCTCAGGATTATGGTTCAGAGCAGCCCAGGCAGGAATGTCTCTGAAACTCTTATCTCTAATTAACTACTAGAAAACCAGAAGTGGCGCTGTGGATCGAGTGGTAGAGTTTTAGCCTTGAACTGAAGAGTTCTGGGACAGCACCCAGGCCCAGCGTTCAAGACCCATGAATGACCAAAAAAAAAAAAAAAGTGTTTCATTGAAAAAAGAAGAGACCAATGCTCTAAACCCTCCAAGTTTCGGCCTGGAGCTGTAGGGAATGGAGGTAGATAGCACTCACCTCAATTTTGCCCTCCTTGGCAGCCAGCTTTAGGGGTGTGAGGCCCTGCAGGTTGCGGATGTCCTCAAGCTGCACCGTGGGGCACAGGCGGGCCCCCAGTTGGAGAAGCCCGTCGTACATGCGGATCACCAGAGCACTGTTCTCAGGCGAGTTGTCTGCGATCATCACCAGAGCATGCAGGGCTGTGTTGCCCAGGGAGTCGGCCGCCTGCAGGCTAGCTGGCTGATATGGATTCTCCAAGAGGTATGTCACCACATCCCATTGTTTGGTGCACGCAGCCAGAGAGAGAGGCAGCTCACCTGTGAGTTGGGGAATGTAGCTGTGTGTTGGGGAATGCAGCTTCCTCCTGTCTACTCCTGTTCCTCAAACAGATGCCCAAACATTCTTTTTTCTTTTCTTTTTTGCCAGTTCTGGGGCTTGAACTCAGGGCTGAAGTACTGTCCCTGAGCTTTTTGTTTAAGGCTAGCTCTCTACCACTTGAGCCACCTCTAGCTTTTCCTGTTTATGTGGTGTTGAGGAATCGAGCAGGGCTTTGTGCATGCTAGGCAAGCACTGTACCACTAAGCCACATTCCCAGCCCCAGGCTGAGCATTCTTGAAGCTGGTCACTCCTCATTACCATTTAAGGGTGCAGTACAGGATCCAGCTACCCAGATCCTCATCTCTCCGGTCTCTCATTCTTCTTCTTTGCCAGAGCCCAGGAGCACAGACTGTGCTTGAGTTACTTTGGGGATTTTGTCTTTGTTTTTTCAGTGCTAGGGATCAAACCCAGGATCTTGCTATATGCTGAGTATATACTCTACCACTAAGCTATAGGCCCAACTATCAAAAGACCTACTGTACCTACCCCACTACCCCTTCCCTGACCCTGAGTCTTGACACAGGCCAGTCTGGACTTGGGTGTATGCTGACCCTCCTTAGCCAAAGGAAATAAAACATTTCTTTTGTTATTGTTGTTGGTCATGGGGCTTGAACTCTGGGCCTAGGCACTGTCCCTCAACTCTTCAGCTCAAGGCTAGCGCTCTACCACTTGAGCCACAGCACCACTTCCAGCTTTTTCTGCTTATATGGTGCTAAGGAATCGAACCCAGGGCCTCAGCAAGCACTTTAGCACTGAGCCACCTTCCCAGCCTGAAATAAAACATTTCTTAAGCTGGCCACTGGTGGCTCATGCTTATCATCCTACTCTGAGGCTCACAGTTCAAAGCTAAATTGGGACAGAAAAGTCTCTCAGATTCTTCTCTAATTAACCAGCAAAAAGCTAGAGATGGAGCTGTGGCTCAAGTGGTGAGCGCCAACCTTGAGCAAAAAAGTTAAGGAACAGCACCCAGTCCTGAGATCAAGCCCTAGTACCAGCACAAAAATAAATACATAAATCAAATAAAATAAATTTAAATTGCTTCTAACCAGCTTAGTGGGTTAGAAGCAGGATGTCAGAATCAGGCAGACCTGGGTTTAAGTACCAGCTCTGCCAATCCCTAAGCATATAACCTTGAACAACAACTTACCCTCTGTGTGCCTCAATGTAGGTAAGAAAGGCCCACTCACCAAAATAGAAGCAAGTTCCTTGGTGTTTCTGGAAGAAATGGCCACAGGCCCGGGCATGCACGTTAGCCCCATTCTCTACCAGGAGCTTCACACACTGCAGGCTTCGCTTCTCAATTGCAATGTGCAGGGCACTGTGGCCTCGGTAGTACTCATCTGTACACTGGGCATTGACCAGAGGCTGGGGATTGCCAGAGTCCCGGTCAATCTGAAGCAGTGGCAGGATGCAGGCGTTAACCCCGTCCTGAAGGTTCAACATAGCCTTCATCAAGCATGTCTTCCCTGTGGAGCCCTCTGTGGGAAAGAGAGGGGAAGGTGCCAAACTGGTGCTCAGACCTGGAGCAGCTAGGCTGCCTTCAGCGTGTGCAAGTCCAGAAGCCCATGGGAGGATAAAAGAAGATTGCTGTTCCATCCACCTATGGAAACACAACCTTACTGCAGGGTACTAATGCTCCAGACAGCTGGTATTAAAACAGCAATAGGGCTGGGTGCCAGTGGATCACACCTATAATCCTAGCTACTTAGGAAGCTGAGATCTGAGGATCATGGTTCAAAGCCAGCCTGGGCAAGAAAGTTCGTGAAACTCTTATCTCCAATAAACAAACAGAAAACTGGAAGTGGTGCTGTGGCTCAAGTGGTAGAGTGCTCACCTTGAGCTGAAGAGCTGAGGGACAGTGTCCAGGCCCAGAGTTAAAGCCCCATGACCAACCAAAAAAAGTAATATGTAACACTGAGTTTCTTAGACATAATTCATCACACATGCAACATTATCAATAAAGAATATTCAGGGCAAAGCCGGGCGCTGGTGGCTCACGCCTGTAATCCTAGCTACTCAGGAGGCTGAGATCTGAGGATCGCGGTTCAAAGCCAGCCCGGGCAGGAAAGACCGTGAGACTCCTATCTCCAATAAACCACCAGAAAACCGGAAGTGGTGCTGTAGCTCAAGTGGTAGAGCGCTCGCCTTGAGCTGAAGAGCTGAGGGACAGCGCCCAGGCCCAGAGTTCAAGCCCCACGACCAACCAAAAAAAAGAATATTCAGGGCAGTATTTTTGAGGGGCTCTCCCACTTAATGACTCTATCACCTTCAGCAAGTCACTTGGACTCTATTAAGCTCCATTTTCCTCTTCGAGAAGTTATTGTAAGGATCCAGAGGTTAAAATTATAAACAAAATACTTAGCACACAGGGGTCATGGCACATAGCAAGTTGAGACCAAAAACTGCAAATAGCTTTATTCCTGGTGGCTCATGTTTGTCATTCTAGCTACTCAGGAGGCTGAGATCTGAAGGATCATGGTTCAAGGCCAGCCTGGGCAGAAAAGCCTGAAAAACTTCATTTCCAAAATAATCAGCTGACTGCAGGCGTGGATAAAATGGTAAAACAGCAGCCTAGCAAGCAGGGGGTCCCTAGTAAAACAATGCAAGCAGCAATAAGTAATTGTAAATTAACCAAATTAAATCTACACAATGGAGAACTCTATGCAGGCACTGAAGTGACTGAGACATGAGCTATAAAATGTTTAAGATGTATTAAATGTGGTTTTACTTTTGAAATCACATTTCCTTACTTGAATCTTCTAGAGTGAATATATGTTACTTTTCTCATGAACCCAAACAATAAAGATATTTAGATTTGGGGCAAAGATGCTTTGAGATTGGTGAAGTGTGTGTGATTCTATTTTATTTCTTTCAGTTATTTTTATTTCATCTCATTATTTTGCTAGTACTGGAGACTGAATTCAGGGCCTCACACCCACTCAGATTGCTTTACTGGTTTGGTGCTTCTCCACTTGAGCCCATGCCTCCAGTACAGTATTTTGCTGGTAAATTGGAAAAATAGACTCAATTGGGCTTTTTTTTTTTTTGCTCCGGGATGGATTTGAACTGCTATCCTTTCAATTTTCAGTCTCTGGAATAGCTAGGAATAACCATCAGTGCCTGACTAAGTTCTTTGAGTATCTCTTCAGCCACTGCTATGGGCTAGAAACAGGTTGGGAGTCCATTAAGGTAGATAGAAAGGAGAGGCAGAGCCACAACCATCAGAGACAGCCCTCAGTCAACCCCATCCACAGGGCCGCCAGCTACTCAGCTTGGAGAGCCCTGCCCTTTTCTCAACATGCAGGATGCTAGAGCACAAAGGACTGCCCAAGGAAGGGCCTACCTGTATATTCCGAGTCAGTGAGATACTTGCTGGTCCGGCGTAGGTACTCAAGTAGTCCAGCCAGATCCTCAGAGGCACCTCGGGAAACTATGCTGAAAAGCCGATCACGGTCAAAGCGATTGGGGTCCTGCTGTCTGTGGGAAATGTGGTTCGTGATTCATGGTAGAAGAGGGCCACAGCCTCCTCCAGAAGAAAGTCCCATCCCAGGGAACCCTTTCAGTGTATCCAGTATGCAATGCATGCCCCTCTGTTTACATGGGCACTCTCTGATGGCCTCTCTCCTCCAAGGAAGGCCACAGAGACCCCAAGTTCTCAGAACTCCAGATGAAGACAAGGGAGGGATCTGATGGAATATTAGTTGATTGTGTTCCCATGACTCTAGCTGTCAAAGATAATTTTTTTCTTTTTCTTTTTTTGCCGGTCGTGGAGCTTGAACTCTGGGCCTGGGTGCTGTCCCTCAGCTCTTCAGCTCAAGGCTAATGCCCTACCACTTGAAACACAGCACCACTTCCAGCTTTTTCTGCTTATGTGGTGTTGAGGAATCGAACCCAGGGCCTCATGCATGCAAAGCAAGCGCTCTACCACTGAGCCACCTTCTACCTTCCCAGCCCATCACAGATAATTTTAAGCATTCAGTGCTTAGCATTTTCCTAGGAGCCCTGATGCTTCATCTCTCAAAAGACTCGTTAGACCACAGGCTCTGTTCTAGCACATATAGGGTTCTCAGGGGGGTGATCTAATGGCAGATCCTGACTTCAAACCTCCAGAGAGGCTTGGCAGCAAGAGGTTTCCCAGAGATAGTGAAAATATCATGTGGTTCTGACGCTGACAAGTATCAGACACTGACCAGAGTGTACTGAGAAGCCAGAGTTCTGGGAAATTTCTCCTGCAGGCCCCAGAAGGGGCCTTGAAGCTCCTTGGAATCTAGCAGTGTTTGGTGAGGGAGGAGAAAGAGGGGGGTAGGGCATTCCCCTTCTAGGCTGTATCAGTTCAGCTCTGGGGGCCTTGGATCCATGAGCAGGCGATATAAAGGGACAAAAGTAGACAAGTCAGGCTGGGAATGTGGCTTAGTGTAGAGTACTTGTCTAGCATGCATGAAGCTCTGGGTTTGATTCCTCAGTACCACATACACAGAAGAAGCTGGAAGTGGTGCTGTGGCTCAAGTGGTAGAGTGTTAGCTTTCAGCAAAAGAGCTCAGGGACAGTGTTCAGGACCTGAGTTCAAGCCCCAGGAATGACAAAAAAACAAACAAAAAGAACAGGTCTCCTTCATACTTTGGGGAATCTCAGTTTCTAACATCTCCTGTGGAATGGGCTAAAGCAGTAAGCGCTGGTGATAGATGGACTCAGTCACATTTTAAGCTGTACAATTTCAATGTGATTAGTTCCCTGCCTTCTCAACACCAGAAGCTAGGTGTCTGCTCTGCCCTGGTCGGCTGACCACATAGCTAACAATATGTCCACCTATGCTCTGCTGCTGACTCAGCAGTCCTGAGGGCTTTCTAGCTAGAAGAAAAAAAAAAAAATGTGGCCATTTGGACAAGCCACCAGGACAGTGTCATGATCCAGTGTAGAGAAGCCACCAAGGGACCAGACTGAAGTCTAAAGCATATTATGGAGCCTATTTTGTCTCTATCAGTTGGCTACCCTGCTTCCAGAAGCCTCCACAGTTCCTTTCCTGGACTGGGGCTGAATTTGGCCAGGGTCTGCCAGCCCAAATAACACAGGAGACTCTAGTCTTGGAGTCTGGGGCTGGAGGCCAGATTACAGGCATGATCTGCTCCCCTGTCAGTCTTGCTTGGCCCATGAGGATTCTCCCACTCCATATAAGAGGGAGGCCAGGTACAGTCTCCTCAGTCCCACAGAAAAACTAAAAGCCAGGTTCACAGTTTGAATTAGTAGAAAGACCACAGGAAAATCAAAGCTCAGATGACTCGGATGACAGTGGAATCCAATTGTCCCCCACCCCCAGGGTCCAAGTTGCCTGGGTGACAGCTTTAGCCTTGGAACATAACTGAGGAGCACTCAGAACATTTCCTGATGTCCTTGACTCTCTCTCTGGAATGAACCACCTCACTCTCAAACACAGGGACCATGATGGGATAGAGATCAGAGCACGGACAACGAAAATTTGAAGGAGGAATTGAATCCTTGGAACTGGATGGAGTAAACATGAGCTCAGAGGGGAGAATACCAAGTATGAGGAAGTTTCTGGGAGAAGCAAGCCCAGAGAACAGAGCAGAGGTCAGCCTATCAGGTTCCCCATCAGCTCCAGGCTGTAGCCAAGGGACACAGGTGCTGGACTGGCCACTGATTATGACCAAAAGGTGCGTTGTGTGAGCTGAGCTGCTTTCCTGCCTCACCCCTATCTGATGCATTACCTGGCTTTTAGTCCCTTTCGGTAATTGAGATTCACTTTGATCTGAGGGGAGAAGTTGCGGTCTTCGCCCTGGAATGGCGACTCCATTGGGGGCGGCCCAGGCTTTCCTTTGACCACCTCAGTGCCATCTTCTTGATCTCCATCCGATGTCTCCAGTCTGAAAGCTGGAGGGCTGGATGGTGAAGTCATCCTAGGAGGAGGACACGGATGACTGCAGTCAGTTCCCTCTGTGCTAATGGAGAAACCAGGGGTCCCTCTTCCTTTCAGCCCTAGGTCAGGCAGGCCTGGCTGGAACCTGCAGTAGATGTTTAGAAGCTGAGAGTACGTACAGCCACTGTGTAGGTGCTCAACCCTACAGGAAGGGGAGTGAGCCAGGAGGGAGGGCAGTGGAGTGGAGAAGAAGAGGAAGCCTGTGGTTAAGTACGGCCATGTGGGTGAGAGTAAAGGGGTGGAGGATAGGGAACTAAAGGGCTGCCTCTGACATTGTTCCACAGGAGAGTCCTGATTACCTCCCACCTTTCTCGGTGGGACTTCCTGATATCTGAGAAGCCCCTAGTCCCTGTTCTGGAGGCAACAAATATTTGTGCTCACAGCATAACTTATCACAGTATCTTGCTCAGTGGCCAACATTCATAAAAGATAAAAAGCCCAGTTGCCAGTATGGGGCGTGTCACTCAACTCCTGTGAGATCTCTGGGAAAACTGTTGAAAACCACGGGTTTATCCAAGCTCAACTTCTTCGACAACTCCTTCTTCTCCATCGCCTTCTCCTCCTCCTCCTCCTCCTTCTTTTTTTTTTTTTCAATACTTGGATTTGAACTCAGGTCCTTGTTTGCTAGTCAGGCACTCTACCACTTGAGCCACACCTCCAGCCTCAAACCCCTTATTTTGCTGCCAGGATAACAGAGGCTCAGAAAGGAGAAATGACTTACTGGCAGAGCATGGTCTAAAACCCTCTTGTTCTAAATCAACACATTCCCCTTCAGTTTTCAGCTTCTTTCATAGCCCCGCTATAGTTTCAGTCTGACTCATGTCTGAAGGCATCAAATGCCACCTGTGCAGGGCCTTCAGCATCAGGAAGAAACCCCTTGCTCTGCGCGAGTCTCCAAGTCAGGCCTGGGACTAGGCTCAGGGAGGTCAGCTGACAAGCACCATCTTACCCTAAAGGGAAAAATGAGAACCACAGCCTCCATCACAAGGCAAGGGGTGGAGCACAGCCAGGGTGGGGGAGCCTTTGTAACCCAGTGGGTAGAAGGAAAAATAGAGCAGGATCAGGAGACAGCAAGACAGGAGGGAGGGGACAGAGGGGAGCAGGCAGCCATGGGAAGTAGAGGTTGGACTGCCTACAGGCCCACTAACCAAACAGCTCCAGGCTCCCCAAAGCCAAGAGACCTGTCTGGCTACCTCAACTCAAAGGCACGATCCACCACCGCCTCTCTGTCCTCACTAGGACCTGGGCACCCTTCTTTTTTCTCCAAACCTTCTGTTCCCAAGCAAATCCTGACCCCTTTTGCCTCCCTGGCCACCCCTGGCTCCACCCCTACCAAGCCCCAGCAGCAACAGCTGTCTCCCCAACTCTTATCACCCCCCTCCCACCTCCCAGGACCCCAGCACCACCACCCTAGCAGTCCAGCCAAGGGGTCTGCAGGTCCGTAGACCCAAAGGCCACGCAGACGTTAGCTCTTGGCTGGAGAAGCAGGGAGCCCACTCGGGCTTCTGGTCCCAGATCTTACGCTGTCAGGCTTGTTGGGTTGGGGGGGGGGGGCGAAGGGGGAAGGGGAGAGGCGGCCCCTCCGGTCGTCCCATTGTCCATCCATTTACCTTGGTCGGCTGAGGCCAGGGCGTGGTGGCGGCCGGCTGTGCTCCGCTGGGATCCAGGAGCCTCGCTCCTCTCTCTCTCTCTGCCCCGGAGGCAGGCGGGGTCTGTGAGAGGAAATGCAGCTGGGAGGGGCGAACACAGACAACCCCACGAGCCTCCCCAGCTTCCAGCTGTGGACGAGCAATAGAGGTTGAATTCGGCCCTGTCAGAATCGCCTGGCCAATGGAGGTTGAATTCTGCCCTATCAGCATCGCCTGACCACCCCAGACAGATCCTCTGGACCGCGGGCCACACCCTGCTCTCGGGGAGTCTTGCCCCGCCCACCCCCCCCACCCCCGCCCCCCGAGATCTGTCGCCCCACCCCCCTCCCCACTACCTAGCCACTGAGGCCCCAGGTGCGAAGAGGGCGGGGGTGGGGGCGGGGGTAGGGGGAGATCATCAGAGACAATCTTTGGGTGTCTGGCCTCTGGTGGGCACTGGCATGAGGCGGGGGATTGATGGGTACTTCTACACTGCCATCCACCTTTGCCCCCGACACCACCCCATGTATCTTCAGCCAAGACCATCTCAACTCCTGGGCTTTTCAACCCACCCCCTGGCACTTGGAATAAAATGCAACACTTCCCTGACACAACCTCATGCCATCCACTGCGGTGCCTTCTTCTCTGATGGCATCCCGGTCTCTTCCATGTTTCACTCCAGCAGGGGGAAAAGTGGTATGGAAAGCCTCGGAGAGAGGAGAGGCTCCGCCCAACAGTGTGCCAGCAATGTGTGTAACCCACCACCCAGTCAGGATTACCTTCCCTGAGGCCCCCACCCCTACCCCCACTCCGGATCCCAAGGACCCTGGCAGGCTCCAGCACTCCCAGCACCAGCCAGGAGGTGGAGACAGAGAGGCCAACATGGACAGCTGACTGGTAGTGCATGGCCCAGGTCTGGGTGCAGCCTTGAGGTTTGGAAACAGAGCCATCATTACTGGGATTCCTCTCTTTCTCTCATTCCCACCCTTTATCCCAGTCCTATCACTACAATGTCTGTTTGGTCCAAACTATCTTCTCTTCCCTGAGAGATTGCAATCATCTTCAGACCGGTCTTCCGACCTGGCTCTGGTCCTACTCCTACTCTTACTCCATTCCCCACCCCCACCCCTTTTTTTGTTGGTCGTGGGGCCTGAACTCAGCCTGGGCTCTGTCCCTCAGCCCTTCAGCTCAAGGCTAGCGCTCTACCACTTGAGCCACAGCGCCACTCCGACTTTTTCTGCTTATGTGGTGCTGAAGAATCGAACGCAGGGCCTCATGCAGGGCAAGCACTCTACCACTGAGCTACCTTCCCAGCCCCTCCATTCCCCTTTTTTTGTGACTAAACTGACCTGTTAAAAACAAACACAGCCAGGTTTCAGTGGCTCACACCTGTAATCCTAGCTACTCAGGAGGCTGAGATCTGAGGATCAAGGTTCAAAGTCAGCCTGGGAAGGAAAGTCCGTGAGACTCCTTTTTTTTGGGGGGGGGGGAGGAGAGTCCAGTCGTGGGGCCCGAACTCTGGGCCTGGGCACTGTCCCTTAGCTCTTCAGCTCAAGACTAGTGCTCTACCAATTGAGCCACAGTGCCACTTCTGGCTTTTTTTCTTTTTGCTTATGTGGTGCTGAGGAATCGAACCCAGGGCCTCATGCATGCAAGGCAAGCGCTCTACCACTGAGCCACCTTCCCAGCCCTGGTGAGACTCTTATCTCCAATAAACCACCAGAAAACCAGAATTGGCACTGTGGCTCAAGTAATAGAGCACTAGCCTTGAGCTGAAGAGTGCAGGGACAGTGCCTAAGCCCAGAGCTCAAGCTCCACGACCAATACACACACACACAAAAACAGGGCTGGGGAAGGTAGCTCAGTGGTGGAGTGCTTGCCTTGCATGCATGAGGCCCTGGGTTCAATTTTCAGCACCACATAAGCAGAAGTGACCAACAAAAAAATAATAATAATAATTAGCACTTTTAGCCAGGCGCCGGTGGCTCATGCCTGATAGCCTACTCAGGAGGCTGAGATCTGAGGATCACAGTTCAAAGCCAGCCCAGGCAGGAAGGCTGTGAGACTCATATCTCCAAATAACCACCAGAAAACCAGAAGTGGTGCTGTGGCTCAAGTGGTAGAGCCTTAAGGGACAGACCCAGGCCCAGAGTTCAAGCCCCACAACCAGCAAAAAATAAAATAAAATAAAATAAAAAATGCCAGGAGCTAATGGCTTCTACCTGTAGTCCTAGCTACTCAATTTGAAGCCAGCTCCAACAGGAAAGTCTATAAAACTCTTATTTCAACTACTAAAAAAAGCCAGAAGTGGAACTGTGGCTCAAGTGGTAGAGCTCTAGCCTTGAGTAAAAAGGCTCACAGACAGCATTCAGACCCTGAGTTTAAACCCCAGGACTGGCACCAAAAAATGAGACTCTTATTCTCCAGTTAACCAGCAAAAAAGCCAGCTAGAAAAGATGGCTCAAGTGATAGAGCACCAGCCTTGAGTGAAAGACTAACGAAAAAAACAAGCATGAGGCCCCAAGTTCAAGCCTCAATATTGGTATACACACAAAAAAAGAAGGGGGGAGAGGAGGAGAAAAGTCACTTTCTCTGGGTAGTCTTTTTTAGACTCTGGACTTGGGGGTGAGAGGTCCCCAATATGTGTTCCTGTGACACTTGATTTGTCTCTTAGGAGCTGGCATGTACTTTTAATTTATTCTATAATAACTGATTACACATTGTTGTTAGTATTTATTTAGGGCTCGACTAGTAGATAGTTACTTACCTAGCATGCATGTACAAGGCTCTGGGTTTGCTCCTCAGAATCAGAAACACACACACACACACACACACACACACACACACACACACACCGAGTGTATTGTAAATCGAACTTTTTTTAACTTCGAATTTTTTTTAACTTTTTTATTTTTTTTGTCTGGTCGTGGGGTCTGAACTCTGGGCCTGGCTGCTGTCCCTCAGCTCTTCAGCTCAAGGCTACTGCTCTACCACTTGAGCCACAGCGCCACTTCCGGCTTTTTCCTTTTTGCTTATGTGGTGCTGAGGAATGGAACCCAGGGCCTCAGGCATGCAAGGCAAGCACTCTACCACTGAGCCACCTTCCCAGCCCCAACCTAGGGGAAGGCTTTAAGTGGCAAGTTGGCTAGCCATCACCATGCTGTTGTGGGAAAAATAAAGAATAAGTGGAGATCTTCAAGCCCTCCAGAGCCATTACCACATCAGGTGACAAGGAAAATTGGGCAGACAAGCATCCCTAATTTGAAATTCAGCTTTGGATTCTTAGCCATTGCAGAAATGCAAATCAAATGCACAAGATTTCACTTCCAGCAGTCTAAGGATGGGCTATTTAAAAAACAAACAGGCTGATGCTGGTGGCTCCTGCCTGTAATCCTAGCTATTCAGGAGGCTAAGATCTGAGAATCACTGTTCAAAGGCAGCCCAAGCAGGAAAGTCCATGAGACTCTTATCTCCAATTCACCACCAGAAAACCAGAAGTGGTGTTGTGGCTGAAGTGGTAGCACACTGGCCTTGAGCTGAAGAGCTCAGAGACAGTGTCCAGGCCCAGAGTTCAAGCCCCACAACCAACAAAAGAAAAGAAACATGAAGTACTAATTGTACAGGCTCATTCATGCCTGTAATCCTAGCTACGCAGGAAGCTGAGATCTGAGGATTGTGGTTCAAAGCCAGCCCAGGCAAAAAGTCCGTGAGACTCTTATCTCCAAGTAACAACTAAACTGTCTCTACTATAAACATTGTGAAAAAGAATGTGATGGTCATAAAGGAGATTGGAAAGTTATTTTCTCTTGCTTTTCTTTCTTTCTTTCTTCCTTTCTTTCTTTGTTGTTGTTGTTTTTGGTTGTGGTGCTTGAACTCAGTCCCTGGGTACTGTCACTGAGCTTCTGTACTCAAGGATAGCATCCTACCACATTGAGCCATAATATCACTTCCAGTTTTCTGTTGGATAATTGGAGATAAGTCTCTGGATTTTTCTTGCCTGGGCTGGCTTTGAACTGTGATCCTCAAATCTAGCCTACTGAGTAGCTAGGATTATAGACATGAACCAGTGCCTGGTTCTGTTTTCTTTCTCCTAAGATACTTACAGTGCTAAGTACTAGAAGTTCTTCCTTAAAAGAACTGGCTTAAATTTTCTCTTTGTCATTGAGTTTTGAGTGTTTGATTATGATGTATCTATGGCTTTTTTTTTCTTACCAGGGTTTGTTTTGATTCTTCGGTAGATACATTAATGTTCTTCTTCCTCAAATATGGGGGAATTTTAGTCATTGTTTCTTTAAATATCTTTTTCCTACTTCTTTCCTTCTTCTAGAACCCTCACTATATGTTTTTGGGATGTTTGATGCTGCCTCATTCTCACTCAGCTGTTATTGATTGCTTTTCTTTCTTAGGATGAGCCATGCTTCCCTGATTCTTTGCATGTCTTCTTGATTGTTGTTATTGGCGTTGAAATAGATATTTAGTTCCTACACTGTAGTAACTCTAGATTCTGATTTTCTGTCATGAAGATAATTGTCATTGTTCTTTGTTTCTTTTCCTTTTCTGTACTAAATAAATAGAATATTTCTTCACTTAAAAAAAAAAGAACTGGGGCTGGGAAGGTGGCTCAGTGGTTGAGTGCTTGCCTTGTATGCATGAGGCCCTGGGTTCAATTCCTCAGCACCACATAAGCAAAAAGCCGGAAATGGCACTGCGGCTCAAGTGGTAGAGCGCTAGCCTTGAGTTGAAGAGTTGAGGGACAGCGCCCAGGCCCAGAGTTCAGGCCCCACGACCGGACCCAAAAAAAAAAAAAAAAAAAGAACTGGCTTAAAATTATTTAAACCACTGTTTTCTACATTCTACTTTTGCTTTTTCACTCTTCAATCAGTTCAAATTGGGAAATACTGTTCAAGCCAAGCATTCTTCCCTGTCTCCTTATCTCTTATTGCTGATTGCATTTAGTCCAAGGCCTCTTTTATGACAAAGCTGTTATAGATTTGAGCTATTCAAACTCATCCTGGGGCTGGGAATATGGCTTTGTGATAGAGTGTTTGCCTAGCACACATGAAGCCCAGGGTTCGATTCCTCAATACCACATAAACAGAAAAAAAAAAACAGAAGTGGCATTGTGACTCAAGTGGTAGAGTGCTAGCCTTGAGCAAAAGAAGCTCAGGGTGGGCTGGGAAGGTGGCTCAGTGGTAGAGCACTTGCCTTGCATGCCTGAGGCCCTGGGTTCGATT